AAGTATGGACAGCTGAATTAGCTGAGATGTTGTGCAATATTAAAGCAGCATATATTCAGTGTTATACAATAAAAACTTAATAACAAAAAGCTCTCAAAACCAGACTATGAGACTATTTTTCCTTGTATATCCTGATCCCCACTGGCAGGTGAGTGGATGAAAAAGCTACACTGGACACTATTCCACCTAGGAAAAATGCTGGGTAAACACCTCTTGTATAAAGCCCCTTTCTGTTTATCCACTGATATCTGAGCAAACCCGAGTCTGTAATTACTGTGACATTTCTGCCTAAATGCTGCTCTCAAATCCCAGCCTGGTGCTGCACTTTGGGCAGTTATTACCAACACACTCATTAATACAGAGGTTATATGAAGACAGATCCCTGGAATAACTGATACTGATCCTCAAACTTTTGTGAGGCCCATCAGTTTGTGGTGCAATCTGGGCAAAGGAGCCCTTTGGGTGCAGGATCTTACCTGGGCGAGGCTGGTGCAGGTGACCTCCAGAAGGGTCTGTTCCAGCCCAAACTATCCCATGAGGTGATGTCCATCAGGATCTCTCTATCCAAGCATCAACACTGAGCTGCCTGTCCTGACCACCACAATGTATTCCAGCAACAAGACACACCTGGGAGGCAGGAGATCAGCCCCAGCTGCCCTGGGCAATGAAAAATGATGCTTCATCACAGCACGAGTGAAAACAGGCAGCAACAGGGGCTCTTTGTTAGCACCTCCCAAGAACAAGGAGTGGAAATACTGATCAGGCTTAATTCGAAGTGGAAATTAGTGGGGTGGAATTTAAATTTCACAGCTTTTTAGGAAAAAATGGTTAAACAATGCACAACAGCAACAGTCTGTGACAGACGTGGGGTGCCCTGAGTGTGCTCATCTCTAGTGTTGGTTGGGAGCCGAATCTCTGCACAGAAACAGCGTATTGTGAGTCTAAAAGAAACCTTTAAAATGAACACCTAGTTGATTTTAAGAAGCACCATAACAAGGGTATTTTAGCCTTTTGGAAATATTATGAAACAGAATTCTTTGAGGCCTCCAGGAAGTGCTGAAGAATAATTTGCACAACCCAAAAAATTAGCGCAAAGATGAAAAAAAGCACTTTAAAGCAAGCCCTAAAGCCAGCTCCCTCAGGTGGGCTCTTTCAGGCATGTTGGGTACGACTTACAGAAAAACTCACCAGCCAAGAGACTCACAATGGCTTAAGGAAGAAAGAGCACTGATTATTATTGTCAAAAAGTTCAGTGTTTCTCTGTGAAATCTCCATTTCTTTTGGCTGCAGTTCATTCCACTGAATAAAAACGTTTTCCTTTTTCTAATTCATTTGAACTTTTGGCACTTACACTGCAGTTCATTGGCTAGCTTTTGGTAGCTGCACTGCTCTCTGCAGTTCTTATTGTTGGGTAGTTCAGGTCATATTATTTCACACGAGCCAATATTAATGGCTGTGACGTTCCCAGTGCTCACACAGACATCTATCAAGTAGATAAGCCCCTAATTCTGTGAATATCTCCTCTCCCAATCAATGGGCTTTGTTAAAGCAGGATTATACAGTGAAATGAATAGAAGGAGACTGTATAGTGAGCAGCTAAAATTAGTACTAAGGGAGTTGCAGAGCCCCGTGGGTCAGGAATGAGCCATGGCCCAGCTGGTGACAGCAAACTTGCCCTTCACCTGCCTCTAGGAAAGGACAAGAGCTGAACATATCTGGGAAACTATTCATCTTCTCTGAAACTTGCACCTTGGCTCTGCTGCAAAGAGCACACCATCATACAGCCCTACAGCAAATTAAAGGATGTGTTTCCAAGTAAATTAGAAAAACAATTTGTTTCCAAGAAAGAGATGAATTACAACTTAATTAAAGCAACATAAGGAGGCTGGAGAAGGAAGGATGAATTCAGATCAGTCCTGAGGGAGCTCCACAGTCCTTGCAGCACGTTGAGAGACGACATCCAGGTGTCATAAAGCAGCAGCACAAGAATTTCCATCAGTCATTCCCGGGGGCCACAGCTCTCCTCAGGTAGATGGTTTCACAAATATATACCTTTTTACCACAGCATACAGAAATCACTCACTGCAAAGTCAGCTTGTACTCAGAGACAAAAAGGAACAGAGATTGAATGGGGACACAGAAGCAGTCAGCTCCTGGGAGATGGGAAGTGGCAGCAGAGGGAACAGGACGTGCCCCCAGCATGGCATGGAAGGCACCCCCTGACCCCCAGCCCAGCAGCCAAGGGGGTGTCTGAGCACACTGTCCGTGCTGGAGGCAGGCAGTGCTCTTGGAAGGGGGATAAAGGCAAGGAGAGTGTTACCCTTCAGCAATGTGCAGTGTTTCGAAGAACTTGTTTACCAACTGCTTTTCAATAGCAAAGAACACTCAGTAATTAACAACCCAATTTTATGGCCAACAAAAAAAGAGAGTAATAATCAGCTTTCCTTGTTCTGCACTTCTCCAGTGAGGAAAGGCTGAGGGAATTGTGTTTGTGGAAAAGAAAAGGCTTTTCTTTTGGAAAGAAGGTTGGAGAGGGACTGTGGACAAAGGCACACAGTGACAGGACAAGGGGGAATGGATTAAAACTAAAAGAGAGTAGGTTTAGATGGGATATTGGGAAGAAATTCTTCCCTGTGAGGGTGGGGAGGCCCTGACACAGGTTTCCCAGAGATGCCCCATCCCTGTAGGTGTTCAAGGCCAGGTTGGATGGGGCTTGGAACAACCTGGGCTAGTGGAAGGTGTCCCTGCCCATGGTAGGGGGTGGAACTGGATCACCTTTCAGGTCCTTTCAAACCAAAACCATTCTGAGATTCTGTGATCTTCTTTAAATCTCATTGCAGCAAAATGACTCAAACATCACCAAGACATTCTTGCTGCTGGATGCACTTTAAATAAAATCAGCAAGGCTCCCCAGATATTACCTCATATTTCCCTGGGATCCCAAAGCCAGAGCATTAAAATAATGAAATAAAAAATTATGAGAGCAGAACCAGCTTCCTGATGGGAAAGAATAAATCACTGTCTGTGCCTTTCTCTTGTGACTGACCCAGGGCTCAGGTCTAAATAGCAAAGCCTCTGAGCGTGTTCCCAGGAGAGACTCAACCAGCTCCTAATTACATGTGCTAGAAGTGGGTGGTAACTTTACCAGGAGCTGGTAACTGAGCTGTCTGCCCACGGGACTGGAGCAATTTCCATCTCAGTCTCACTTTCTAATGCTGGATTCTGGGAAGAGAGCCTAGTCCTCGAGTGCTTTTTGTTGTGATTTCAGCATTGCTGATTTGAATGCTCCCTAGGGTCTGATACTTTGGGAAAAGCCAGTTTTCCTTTCCCATTTCCAGTCACACAGCCCGACAGCAGCCAGTGTCCAGCTGCTGTTGGGCTTGGACAGGTCAGTAAGGCTGGGTCAGTAAAGGTGCTCCCACAGGCTTTGTTTCCTCTCTGCTTTAGCTCCCTGACTTATTCCCAAGAACATGGTGTTTTCCCACGTATCTCCTCAGTTGAAAAGAATATACTGAATCCTTTGTGTTCACCCTTCCACTCCCAAACCCAACAGTGCTTTTTTTAATGTAGATGACTTTGTTATATTACATCTGGAGGTAGAGCATCAGCCCCACTCCTCAGAAAGCTTTCCTGTTTTCTGTTCTCACCCTGCCATTCCTCTGGCCCACTCTGCCGTGTTGTACAGCACAACATGTCCTGCTCTGCCCCTTCCAAAGCTCTGCTTGCCTCTGTGTCTGTGTGAAGCACACAATTCCTCTCTGGATCTGTAAAAGCTCGTTGCTGTGTGTTGCTGAGCTGTCCCTCTCGTTTCTGTGCTATGTTTGGGAAGGGGTTTGTCTCAGTTTGGTCTGTTCCCAGTGCTGGGGTGGATTGCACTGACTGGGTCTAGTTTTCAAACCCTGTGAGCACATAAGTACTGCTCTGCTTCCACGAATTTCAAGGATATTTCCTGAGGGTGACCATCCATCCAGCTGATACCTCTTTGCAGTGTTCCTTTGCCTTTTCCTGCCACAAGCTGTGGAAAATACTCTGGGCCAGACACTGTTACGCATTCAAAACCTTGTGATTCAGTTCATGCAATATTTTGATCACCTGTTTTGAGTGCCAGGCTGTGGCAGAGGTAAGGGCAGTCCTAAGGGAGAGCGTGGAAGCTTTCCAGGCTGGTGATTTCTGTTGCCTGGGTCCAGTGCAGATGTTGTACAGAGCTGCTGTGACCTTTCTGCTGCTGAGCCGTGGCCCTGCAGAGCCCTCCGGGGCTGAGCAGCCCTTCCTCCCCTCTGTGCAGCTGAACCAAACTGCCCCTGCAGCCAAGGCACAGCAGAGAATTTACTGACTGCCTCTGGAATTAGGCAATTCTCTTAATTGTCTTCATTTTCCAGGACTCTGTCATTCTTTCCCTGCACCACTGGTGGCACAGCTATTTCTGTGCCAGCATGAGCTGCTTGTGAAAAAAAAAAAAAAAAAGTTAAAAATTGAACAGCAAATCAATCCAAGACAAGGACAGATACCTCTGAAACATAATTGCATTCAGATATCCTGGGGAGCCCTTACAAATCCCTTTCCAGCTTCCACAGCTCTTTTCCCTCTTGTGGCTTTGCTCTGAGGAACCTCTATTAAGCAACAAGACATTGCTAAACAGTGCCAGCAGTGAGTAAAAGGATTTCTTTTTTTTCCATGATTTTCCTCCCCCATGCTCTCCAGCCACACCAAACTCCAAAGCAAGAACTTTTTGCATTATTTTTTTTTATTTCTAAGGGTCAAAATGATGGGGGTGGCTCTGCTTTTCCCACCTACAAAGCACCTTAAAGAGCACAAGGACATTGGTGGGTTCTTTTATTTAGTTGTGGCGTTTTTTTTCCTTTTCTTTGCAGCATGGATGTTCATCCCTGTGCCATTTCCCACAATGAACTCGGGGTCTGAACTTGGATATGTTTTAAGTAAATGAGGTGGGAGTCAGTAATTGTGAGTTTTTGTCTACACAGAGCTCCCAGACAAGAAAGTCACCCAATAGTTTTAATACATTGAACTCATGACACTCGGTATAGACATTATGTGTTATTTACATATCCATATCCATACTTACTTGAAGCCTGTGGTATCACAAATGCATTCAAAACTGTTATATTTCTGCTTCAATATCTCTTTGGTTAGAAAAAAAATTTAGTAACTTCCATAAGCAGGATTTATTGTCTGTTTTCAGCGAGGTGGTTGTAGCACAGTTGTGATCCCCCAAAAATACAGTGCTAGAGTATAGTACACATTTTGTAAAAAAACCTGATGTCTGGGGGTGAACAGTCCTCTGGCAGTTTTGGGATCCCATCCAGCATTTTCAGATTTGGCAAACTGGAGAATACACTTAAAAGAGAGACAAAAGAAAAATGGAAATTGAGGTAAATAACCTTGGGAAATGTTGAGAACAAAATAGACACTGCTAAAAAACACACAGTGGATTCAAACACACCTAAAATGGATTTGTGTTGTTGGGAATCTTGATTTGCCATTTGTTGCAGAATTTACCTGATAAAAAGCTAATAAGAAATTCTCAGGTTTCACTCTGTTGCACAAGTTTTATATCCTCAGATTGAGTGAAGCACTTCAAGTATCTGTCTTCCAACACTGGCAGTGAAAGTAATACCAGAATTTAATACCAAATTATATCAATATTTAATTGCCTTAAAACTGGCAGGAATGGGAGAAGAAACACAATTAGTAATTATTAAAAAGTGCTTTTCTGCTTTTGTTCTCCTGTACCCTTTGATATGCAGATAAAATATGAAATCCATCATTTTAAATTTATGTTTTGCTGATATCTGCCTTCCTACCTTTAAAAAGCATAAGCATCACCATCCCACTGCCAAGGGGATGCCTGGAAGACTAAAGGAAAAACAAACTGGAACCCAGAAAGGTTTTCACTAAAGATTTTCTTTTAAGCTTCTCCTGTCTTTTATTCCCCTTCCAGGATGAGGTGGGAAGAGATGTATCCCATCCTAGACATGCTGTAAGGTTTGTCTTTAATATATCAACAGTGCCTTCTGCAGATGGCTGATGTGACTGTGTGCAGTGAGGAAAAACACTCAACCACACAGATTTCTGGAGAGTGAAGCTTAAAATAAATTATCTTCTCCTAAATTCTTTATCTTTGTATTTAAATTTCCATTGCCAGTGCCTGAGGGAGCTCTGTTAAGTCTACGTTGCAACACGACCTACACTGAGTGGGGTGTTCAAGGCAGAGCATCTTCCCCATCTGCCAGGAACGGGAGAGACTCCAGAAAAAAATCAAATGAAGGGAACTCAATTTTCTCTTGCTTTTGCTCCCATCTTTCAAGGCATCCTCCTGATTCCATCTCTGACATGTAATGCAATTTTAGACTCCTTGCAGAACACACGAGGGATGCAATGAGACTGAAGAGAGTTTGAGTAATAGGTAGTTTCTATTAATAAAAGGAAATCTAATTTGTCTGCCCTCCTCACTGTCTCTAAACTTGATCCATGGACTTAGTTCAGTTCCAGAACTGCCAGTCATGTGATTAGAAAGCCTCCTAGGCAACTTCTGAATATTTTGGGGCTTTTATCAGATACTGGCTCACGAGGCCATGGTCCTGGAGCAATTTGGATAGTTGAAACAAGAGGAAAATAAAAAAGATTCTTCTAGAATCTTTGTGGTATTTGATTCTTCTAGATTATAGATTCTTCTAGAAAGCTTGTGGTATTTGAGATCCTATTCCTTTTAAACTGTCTCACAAACATTTCTTTGTGTTTATCAACTTTTGTTAGCTGTTAGACTTACAGTTGTCTGTATTTTTCTTGGAACTCACAGGGATTCCTCTTGAGAATGAGGGATTCGAGCGGAGTGTGTCTGAAATCTGATATTCCACTTAGTGTCATAATGTTGTTTTCAGCCAGAGATAAGTGCTGAATCTGAGGGATCTTTGGCAGCTGTTTGAAGGATCTAAAGTGGTTTTTATTGACATTTAATTCTCTGCATCTGTAAAGTATAAATTGTATGCCATCACTATCACATCTGCGACAGAATATACCTGTAAGCCAACACAGGGGGGGATTTATACACTAGTTTTACATTTGTGCCATTTTTGCCTACCCATGGACATCAAGATCAGATCCCTACTCTTTTAACTCTCAGCTTGCTCTATATTGCACAGTGGATGCATCACTATTCCAGTTCTCAGTATGACAACTCTCCATACACTCACACATAGAGCAGCAGATGGATTGTAAAATACAGTTGTCATGGTCATGCTTGGCCTCTGCTTGGCTTCTGTTCCACCATCTCTTCATGGAGATTCCTTCAGTGTGCAACAGCTTGCTTTTTTTTGGCACAAATCTCCCTGAACTTCACAAGACTCATTAATTATTCCCCAGGAGTAAAGGGGTCGTCATCTGATCTCCTCACTGAGTATTTTCAGCTTGGGATGAGATGAACTCAGAACTACAATATACTGATAGATTTTCAATACAATACTTCCCCCAAAAAAGCATATTTGGTAGTTCTCAAGAGTCTGCTCCAGCTGTTACCAAAGTAAGTAATAATTTTGGTTTCTATGATATTGCATAAAAATAGAAGTAGGACATTTTGTCTACCTTGGCAACCTTATGGCACTGAGGTCTGTCAAAGAATTGTCCACCAACCAAAGCTTTTCCACCCGAATTAATCTTCGGAGAATCCTCTTGAAGTTTTCCACCTGATAAACATCACCCAGGTCCTGGAATGAAAGGTTCAGCTCCTGGGAAGGGAAAAATAAGATAAATCACTCACTTTTTTTCTTTTTTTTTCCCTTGTTTTCTAATAACTATTCATTAAATATTTTCAATGCCAGAATTAGTCAAAAGGTTTTATCTATTTTATGATGCTGTTATAACAATTGGTGGTGCCAGTTGCCAAATGCAGGTCAGGGCTGTAGTGATGGACTCAATAATTCTTTGGAAGTAATGAAAGAAATCATCCTTTAAGCATGAATTTTACTGTCCCACTCTTTGAGTGGGGAGGCCAGAGTGTGTGCACTGGGTGGGGAAAGCAGGACTAAGCGGTTGTGGCTTGTTGGTTTGGCTTCTAAACTCATCTGAAACAAAAATATTGTCTATCAGCCAGATATTAATGTTGATAGAATCACCATGGAATGGTGTGGGTTGGAAGGGTCATGCAGTTCCAACCCCTGCTGTGGGCAGGGACACCTTCCACTAGATCAGGTTGCTCAAATCAAACCCTCAAATCAAACACAGGATTTTTATCTTTTGGGTCACAACCTAAATAACATTATATTCCAGTCCTTCTTCCCTTGTAAACCCCTTCTGGTTTACAATGTCAAGGTGCCAACCTGAGCTTTAAACCTGCTCACTGCAGGGAGCAGCCAACACCTTATTATTTGGCTTGTTTACAACCAGAGTACAAAATGTTAATGAGAAAGTTTTACAGCACAGTTTTCCCAGTTCTCTTGCAGCCTCTTCTCCCATTTCTCTGTGTCAGTTACTTGTTTTCTTTTTTTCAAAGTATGTTCTTCTCTTCTGAAAAACAGCTCTTCTTCTGGGGGCCCTGGTCAGAGAAAAAGATTTATAATGGTGGATGTGATATGGAACTGGCACTTAGTTACCTGCTGAAAGATTATATATGTGGCTGGGAAGAGATCTGTAATGAAGAAATATATATAATATTACAGGTGTGTAGGTTTCCAGGCTTCTAAAATATAAATTAATGTGAAGATATTTCTACCATTTCCTGGCCCATAATTCAACAAGCAATCTGAGGTCCTGGTGATTTGGTATGTGGTTGCTAAATGACAGTTCTTCTACAGGTCAGAATAAAATAAAGATATTTCTAAATAGATGTTCAAAAGGACCTGAGCTCTAAAATCCTGTTTCTATAAGTTCCTTCACGTGCTCTGAATTAGCCTTTAATTGTTCTGAGAAAGGAAGGTGTTTGCAGCTTCCACTGACAACAATGGGGTCAATGACTGTACTCAAAACCTCATTTCTATTAAGAACGACACACACTGAACACTTAAATTCTTAAGGTTTGCTGAAATGCCTACAGCTATGGACATCTTCAAACTCCTAACTAAAGCAAGGACAGGGTGGAAATTTTCCACTGTTTAGTCCCAAACATGCAAATACTGGGTTTTGAAACCCATCTTTCATTCTCTATTCTTGAGCGCGTCTGTAGATCGTAATGGAGCCAATTCAGCCTTAAAACACAATATATGTGCCACTGTTTGCAGGACTGGATTTCCCTCTTGGTTTCTTGTTTGGCATGTGGCTGCTGCATTCTGAGCAACATTTAAATGTTGGTGAACTTTTGAGATAAGTAATCAACACCATATTAATATTAAATATTTTCAATTTACTGTTCTGGCAGTTGTTTTCCATTTTTGAAATTACAAAGAATAACTTTTTTAGCGATTAAAAAAAACCACATCTGTACAACATGGGATAAAATCCTACCCCTTTTCAAGAGAATGGAAAACTCCATGATTTCAGGTCATAACATTTTAGGCATGTAGGTTTTGAGCAAATAGAGTTAAGGCTTAAATGTGAACGTGTCTTTTTGATCTTCACCTTCTCTCACTCGGGGACAGCGGAGCTGATTTCCTCGAACATCGTGTTCCTCTATGTCACACCAGCCAAGGTACTTGAAGGAGTCAGAAGGAAACTTAAAAAAAACAAGCAAAATAAAGACATAAAAGAATCAGTAAAAGTTCTTCAGTTCCTGACACTGTATTTTCTTATATTTCTGGCCTGATTGCAGTAGAAATCCCTCCAGTTAGAGCCAAGCCCAGAAGCTGGTAAATGCTGTGAGAATTCATAGTTCAGTGTAGTTTGCCACAGATCATTCTGGTTTACTTCTACAAATTGGCTCAAATATTGGAGAAGCCTTTCCAGGGCTTATTATCCCCTTGTCCATCACCTCCAGTGTGGTGCACAGTGCTCAGAGGCCGAGTCAAACCCCTTTCCCCAGCTGACACCACAGCACAGAATCTTATTTATAATCTGCCCCGGCTTTGGAAGATAAGAGGAGGTGGCAGGATCAGCCCCAAAGCTGAGGGAGAGATTTCTGCCTTAGCTCTTCTTTACCATGTCTCTCTTCTATAAACCAGTACTCAGGCTGGTAAAACCAAACACTTACTGGGGAAGGCAGCCCAGAGTCCCAGCTCGGCCTGATGATTCCTCTGCCTTGTGATAAACCCGGTGGGATTGGGTGTGTGTCTCTCAGGATGGGGCAGCAGGACGGATAGGATTTACTGAACCTTTCATTGCTTGTAGTCAGACCTGAGGAACTGAGAGAGACGTTAAACCAGCATTGATTCTGTTCAGAGAAATGCAGATTGTTTTATAATTACAGAGAACACCGAGTAGCACGGGGTAGGACTTGGCACCAGGCAACAGCCACATGGTCCTGAGGTCAAACCATAGGCAGTCCCCTCACCTCTCACCTGAGCAGTGTGTACACACATGGAGGCTTTCAGAGATGAGTCCAAACATCAGAATGAGGAATTTACTGACAGTTTGATGGAAAAATCCAGGAGAAAATGAAGGACTGAACTGGTTCAGCAGCGTGATGTGTCCCTTTCTACCCTGTACAGCCCTGCTTTGATGGATCCAGGTTGGATGAAAAGATACCTCAATTATTTATTTTAATCCCTTGTATATGTATTTTAATTTCTTATTTTACTAATATCAGACCAGTATATTTATTTTAATCTCTTTAATATGTTTTAGGGGAATCTTAAGGATCCAGAGAAAAGCTGAACTTAGTTCAATAGAGTCTTCAAACCACAGAATCAGTAAGATTGAAAAAAACCTCCAAGATCATCAAGCCCAACCTTCAACCTGAAGTGATGTGTTTTTGTGCTTTGCTACTCCATTGCCTCAGAACATTTCCAAAAGCCCATTTTATGTACCCTAAATGATGCAATTCCTCCAACTGTGCTTCAGAGGGACTGAAGAATTTGCAGACTGGCAGCTTTTACCATGGAATCCTTGAAAAAAAAATGATTTAATTGAGTAAGTGTGTGCACACAGCACTGTAATTTGACTTTCACTGTACAGGCTGGGTGAGCTCTTGCCAGAAAGTATCAGCTGTCAGTGAGTATTGTTAGAACAACTCTAGTCAGGAATGGAGATAAAAATGCAGCTTTGAAATGGTTTGGGGAGCAAGGCAAAGAAAGTTTCCTACTGAGTGTAACAGACAAACTAAACAGAACATCAGTTAAAAGGTGCAATTACAGGTTATTGAAGAGACATGTGCTGTTGACCTTGCTATGATTTTTTTCCCCAGTATTCCATCTTTACTGGCTTTGGCCCAAAAGTGCTCCCAGGCTCTGACACACAGATCTCCTCCTCCCTTCTTGCTTTATGGTGGTTGTTAATGGGATCAAACCAGCCCCAATAAACCATAGATGACTTCGGGGAAGCTGAGTGAGCTCAGCATTTGGGAAATCAAACAGCTATTTACTGGTTTTTGAAGTCACCTTGAGGCCATTTTCATGTGTGTGTGTCCCAGAGCAGCAGGTGTTCCCATGCACAGCAGCCCTGTGAAAAGGGGATTTACGTTGGGTCAATACTAAAAAAAAAAAACAACAGGAAATAAAATGTGCTGGGAATCCTTGTTTAGCCCTATCTTGGTATTTGCTCTGCTTCTGCTTCCTTGTATGTTAAATGAGGTCACACCAAAGAAATATGGAGAAATTCTTTTATGTTTAAGAAAAAGGTCTGTTATTTTTCTCAGTTTAGAAGCGACTTTTTAGGATGTATTCAAATGACTATTTATAACTGCAAGACTTTTCAAAACCTACCTTCTTCTCAGCCAGATACCTCCTCCTCTGCTGAGACAGGAATATGCATTCCCAGTGCCTCGAAATGTGGGATAAAACATTTTAGCTGAACCATTTCACACGATACCTATTCTGATCTCCTGGCAGAAACCCACTCACAAAATTCTACATTATGATAGAAAATAAAACCTAAAAGTCCAGAACCAATATGTGATAGATACAAATTCTCCAATCAGGTGGTGAGTGAAATTTCCATGGGAAAGAGTGACAGAAGGAAACATTTTTCATCTCAAAACTCCCTGAGTTTAATAAGCACCAGCTGGACCTCAACATTCTGTCAGAGGAGATTTTTCTGGAGGAGCAAGTGCCACACTGCTTTTCTCTCCCTTGCTTTGTTTTCCTCCCTATTTTGCTGCAAAATTGATGCAAAAGAAATGGCAATGAACGAGGCAGGATGCAATTCCAAGCAATTACAGATCACACAATACATGAAAGGAACAAAATTTCCTGCCTTGATTGTGAGGCCCTTCGGCTGGATATGAATCTCCAATGACACCTCTGGGAGCTACACACTAGATTATGTCAAGCATTAAGGGAAAAAAATTAGATTCATGATGTCTGTCCAGGCTGAGTCATTTCCTCTCACTTTGCCTGCAGTGAGAAATTGGTGGTTATCATAAATCATGGACCTAAATTCTTATGAGAGAAGAATTAATTTCACTAATGGAAACCCTCTGTGGCAATAGCATTCCTCCAGTCTCTCTCTTTTTGGGGTGGGGGAGCTGTATCTATGATGTATTTTAAGTAGAGATACTTGACTATATTTTAAGAATTCTACAAAAGAGGACTTGAAAGGAAACTTAAAATGATAATGGGGTAAAAAAATTCTGTGTGCGACCAACTTCTAATTTCTGAGTGGCTCTCAGTCTAGTTCCTACCACAGCTACACCTTTGCCACTGATACCAAATCCAGGTACAAAATTTCAGAGTACACCAGTCAAAATCAAACATCTAAACCCTCCATCTGGTTCAAGTATGATTTCCCCCACCTAACTGGAGTTGCCAGGCTGAAAATCCAGGCTTAGAAAAATTTTTTGTCTCTCTCTCCAGTCAGTGGAGATGAGTGGGAATGTCCAGATATTCACTTACTCAACCCAGCCTCCATGCTTTTTACTTTCAGCTGGAATGACTCACTGTCCACAGGATCCCACAGGCTTCCCTGAGAGTAGGCACAACTTCAGGGCATCTAAAGTTTGATGAGGAGGATTCCACCCTAAGTTTTGAAATAGAAGGACTCCTGATCCCTTCAAAAAAGCTCAGGGGAAACTTTCTGTTCCATGTAGCAGCACTGAAATATATAAACCAGCCTTTCCATCTAAATAATTAAACAAACAAGCAAAAATTTGTACTAAACAGGTCTTAAGCACCACCTTGAAGTCTGGAGTTGGCTGGAGGTAAGTGAAAGTACTCATGACTAAGCCCATGTATTTTGTGTATTCTGCTCAGTGGAAGTCCCAGTGGGGAACTAAGGGGCTGAAATGTTTTGCAAACTGGCAGGAACGAGGACAGAACAGCTACTGCATTTTTCAAAACACAACTGATGAGATATGAGGCCATATCTTGGCAAATCATGCACTGCCACAGAGTTCCCCGATCAAAGTTCCACTTTATGAAGATGTCAGTGTCAGTTGTGACACCGTGAAATGCTTCTGCTCCTACTGACCACATTTTTACAGACTCCAAAATGCTCTAAGTTTCCTTAATGCAGTGCAAGTACATTTGAGCCCAGCTGACTTTATGGGTAGAATACATTAAAAGCCCCTGAAATACTTTGAAGAGCTGGAGCTGAGCTACTTCTGAAACTACAGCAGGGAAAGATATTCTGAGGGAAAAACTGAGTGAAAAATCCCTCCTGTGTATATTTTAGACACTCAGCTGCTAAGAAAGGACTGTCAGACAAAAGACTCCTTTCTCCTGATAAAATGACAGTCTCAATAAACAAACATCTGAGGCTCTACAGCACAGGTCCAGCTTTACCTCACAGAAAATGGAAAGCTCAGTGGAAGAGGAGGAAAGATAAAGAAGGTTATAAGCGAACTCTTGCAGTTGGGATTTGAAAGGCTTTCAGTCCCAGTGTTTTCAGTAGTTTTGGGGTCTGGTCCAGCTTCCCACAGTCTTATTCCCAGCTGCTGTTCATGAATCAGCAGCCTCGAGCAGGCTTAGCTTTCACTGAGCGATGCCTACTTTCCCCATAGATCTGAAATGCTCTTGATAAAAGATCTGGGAACAAGCAGTAGGGCTATTCAGACTAACTCTTCACATATCCAGTCAGAATTCCTATGGTGCTCCCTGCAGCTTCACATCCCACCAAATCACAGAGCATATCTGATGGAAAGGTCCCTGCTCCCATGTGGTTGATCCCAGTGAAGTCTTGTCAGGTTGGTACTTTACAGAAAGGGCTCCAAGTTCTTTCAGCCTTGCTACAGTGGAAGTGAAAAACTTAGACCATTCTAAAGGAACCGAACCAAACACATTTTAAGATCATCTTCCAGAAAAAGCAAAATAAAACCAAACCTAAGAAACTAAGAAAAGGGTGATAAATCCTCCCAAAGCAAAGAGTTCTTGTCACTAGGTCAGAGCTGCTGATTTTGCAAAGGCTCCAAGAAGCTGTTTCTGGGTCTGCCCAAACCACTTGCACAAGTAGCTGTTTGCTCACAGGATACAAACACCCCATTATTTTTGTTGTCCCAGTCAGTGGTACAAGCCAAAGTCCATCCACATAAATGAACTGCAGGGTTAACTTACAAACACAAATCCTGGAGGTATTTAGAAGGCATCAAACTCACAATTTGGGCTGTCCTTAGCTCCAAATGCACCCAATTTACTGCTCAGGAGCAGCTTTGCTTGTATGCAAACATTTATTATGAGAACTCTCTGAACTTACAATAGTCGAGGATGTGGACACAGTGTTTCCATGCTCTATTACCTTTCAATTATTTTTATAGGAGTTTTATGAGACATTATGCAACATTTTGAAGCAGCTCTTTTGAGCATAATTTAGTGACAAACACACCTGTAAGTTATGGCTAGAATGCACCCTTGCTGTTAGCTGTAGCATCAATTATCTTGCTTTATGCATCATAAAATCGCCCCCCACAAGACATAATAAACATAATTAGGTCCTATCACCATAATTAGACATACCTAGAATATTAACTAACATTTTCTTGGTGGATACAAATTCCACATCTCAATCCATGTGCCTTTCACACGTTTTTTGCAACAAATTAGGCATTTCTGACAGGACAGCTTTTGTCTTTCAGCAAAAGATGGCACCAAGAAAAAAAAAACCCAAACCCCTTTGAATTCCTGTTTTTGCTGCACAACAACCTCCATTAGCAATACAGGCTGGTACATTCTAAAAAGACACTCAATCCTGTAACACTATCTTTGTTGTCAAAGCATGTCAAGCGGTGCAATGACTACAGGACCGGCTCTCCTTTCACCCTCCTACCTTTCAGACATGTCTCGCTGGTGCACAAAATCCTCACATCTTGCATAAGGCTATTTGTCTACAGCCAAAGCTTATCTTCCCATCTCTGCCCCTGCATAGGGAGGGAGTTCTCCAGCCTCTGGAGAGGGGTAACCTGCAAGGATCCTGGCTGGGGCTGGATGGATTCACTGTCTCCAAGGAAACGCTGTCACCTCGCAACGCAGTCACGTTAGGAGCTATTGTTACCAATCTCTTAAGTACATCAAACAAATTCCTGGGCTGATGGAGCTGGTATCAATGAACTGTCTTTCCAGAAGGTGCCTAAAGATAGGTTGGTGATACCTGTAGCAAGATACGTGATCATCCGGATGAATCTCTGGTCTGCTCACTCCGGTGGCTTCACTTTCCTGAATCGTTTTCACAGTTTTTCCCACTTGAAGTTAATATTCTCTTTGCCTAAAAGACTTCCTGCTTCATTAATGGCTTGTTAAATGCCTTATTAATTTATCAAAGAACTTTGGATGAAAAGCAACTACTTAAAGAGCCTCGTGTTTTATGTAACGTTCATGAAAGTTCTTCATGGGCACCTCTTCACTCTGTTGAGGGTTCTTGTCTTGTTTGAACCTGCTCAGCCATTTTAGAAACAACCTTCCAGGCTTCTTTCTTCGAGTTTGCAGCTCAGAACGAAAACAAGAGACTCTTCTCTTGGTGGGAACCAACAGGTCAGTTTTGTGTCTGTTTTTATGTTGTATTTTTCTTAAAACATTGAAGCTGTAGGTTCTGAGAGCCAGTCTGGTGAAGCTATTCCCTTGAAAATGTGTTTGTTGCGATGTTTGTTTGGCTCACCCAGACAAAGTGCAGATGCTGGCAGGGTGCCACTGATGGAATTGCAGCCCAGTGTTGTTCTGGGCACTGGTTAGCTCCTGCTGAAGTTTACAGATGGCTTTTAAACTCCAGCAGCTGTTACGGGAACCAGGTTTCGGTGTAAGGTTATAATGGAGCACTCAATCATGCCCTATTGATCGGCATCTCCCACACCACGGGCACAGCTCCTGCCTCACTTGAGCTCCTGGGCTCAGCACTGAAAGAAGAGGGATAAATAAGTTAAAATCAATGTGGAAAAAAGTCCACAATCCGCTCTGCCCGGGGATATTCATCTGGAAATACCATATAGTCAAACCCTCGGTGGTTCTGACTTCCTACTTTTCAATTTCTTTACAAAAGAATTATTCCTTATTCTCCCTTTCCCTCATAATTCCCTTTTCTCTTCTTGGTTGTTACAAAGGCTGATCAATAAAAGACTTTTCTGTGCAGAAAGGCGTGTACTTTCCCCAACAGTGACTGGAGGCTCCAAAACATTCCCTCAGAAATTCTGCTGGTAAACTTTGCCGCGCCAGTAAAGCAGAGGAGAATAATGGTTATTAGAAACTTTCAGCTCCTGTGCAAAGGTATTTTGTGGTTCCAAATGTTGAATTGACAGATGGTTATATGAAATTTAACAAAGTAGTCATTCCACACAGGTTTCATTAAAATTTTATGTGGTAAGAGCTGAGTTTATTACAGGGTGGGCAGAGAATGGAGTATTAGGGATTCATCAGGTCACTTGAATGTATCCTTTTTCTGCCTGCTAAGAATAAAAAAATTAATATCTAAATCAAACAAGACTGTAATTTCGGGCCTTTCTACTTACCATTTTTCCTCTCTGTACAAAATGAAAGGTATTGGTCCCCATCAGGGCTTAATGGGCTTCAGATCTTCTGTGGCAAATGCAATCCTCATAAAGCCCATGAAAAATTATCTCTGTGCTGTTTCAGAGAAATGACATATTTTACATGGTGGTGGCCTTTCCATTATAAACACTATTTTTCAGATCTTTACAACCTGCCCATAAAAATGTGCTTCTGACAAGAAATGCAGCAGCATGCCCCAGCTCTGCAAGAAAGAGGTTTTTTTCCCACTTTATCCAGTTTTGACCGGTAATTCTGTCTCTGAAATGGCTGAGCAGGCCAAATCCAGGGTGGGCATCAGTCTCAACCATGTGTCTCTCACATCTACATTGGATCAGATGCTTCCCTGGATGTCCTGCAGGTGCATGAAATATGTATAAACTGGCCAGAATAGGGCTCATCCCGAGGTCTGACTAATGACAGGAACAATTCCAATTATTCTGACTGCTGTAGGCCGCAAGAGGCCCTGTTGTTCTGGGCACCACAGAAAGCCAGGAAAACAGAGTCTGCTCCAGAGAGTTTGTGCTTTAATTGAACAGAGCAGACAGACAAAGAGTAGGAAGAAAGGAAATAATATTATCCCACCTCCTTTTATACACAAATAACTGAAATGCTCAGACCATGAAATCCTGGCACTGTGGCAATAGCCAGCAAAAATGCTGTTCCTGTGACCAGGGTCAGCATTCCCACAGCATTCACAGAGCCTGGCTTGGTTAAGACCAGACTAGATGAACAGTCTGGCTTTAAAGTCTGCATTTAAACAGCTGAGTTTCTGAGCTGACATTTTGTTAATCATCATTAAAGAACACTTAAAAATCACTTCTGGATGATAACATTTTACTGAATCAGAGATGCAGCAGCTTGTAAAAATTAGTTTGTTGGTGCAATTTCGTGTTCTTTACGTAAAATACTTAATTTACTTAGGTGATATCAAACCATTAAGTAAAATCAGATCTAAAAGCTTAACAACATTTTAGCAGCAGCAGAAAGTGAATTTCTCTGTTGATCTTACCTGGTTTGACCATATCCAGGAATCCGTGGTATTGGAGTTGGATGAATCAGTTAGAGAGAGAATTTCTTTGACTATTTCTTTAGTATGATCTGCAGGGACAGTCAGAGGAAGCACTGGAAAAGGAACACAATATTAAATGCACAGATGCTCATCTGTGCCTGGGCAGAGAAGCAGGCACAACTTGCACAAACCAACTGGACACATTTCTTTCTGTCCTGCCCGTTCAGGATTCCACTCAACTATTCGACTCCCACTGGTAGGATTTGGAGAGCATTCCCAGGGAAAAGCCAAGTACAACAGGATAAAGCCTTGGAGAGAAGGAGGGCAGAGTTAGTGAAACTTTTCATCAGGGTCACCAAACAAAAAGGAATCAACAACAAGGCGCATAAATTATTGAAGTGAAAACTATATATGTCTGGTTTTGTAAGGTGTTACAAACCCAGGGATTCCAAGAGGGTTGGAGGGGCTGTAACCAAGCAACAAGTACTGAAATTTGGTTCTCTCTTCTAGAAAAACAGCAGGCTTGCAAGTCATAGTGACAACATCTGGTACTAAAAACTGAGCCTGTCCTTGATTTTATAGTCTTTGGATCAAGCCATAAGAAGAGATGTTTATGGAACAGGGAACAGAATTTTTATTTGGTTTAGGAGAGACTTATTTCAGTATCAAATCCGAATTTTCTAACCAAATGTAGGTCAACAATTTCTGGATGAGCTGGACTTTATCTGACACTACGGAAAGCTCACTTATAAGTAACATTTTGAGTTTTGTTTTTTTTTAATTTTCCTTTCAAAAAAATATTGGGTGCAACTTTCCTTTTCTTGCATTTGGCAACGTGAAAGAGGAAACCTAATCATACCCCAAGTGCAGTGGGTGGCAGGCAGCACCCCTGTGGATTGACATGCAATAATGATTTCTCCCATTCTATACCTCGTTGAGATTTATTTTCCCTTTTACCTTAAAACATGGCTTGTTATACTGAATGAATTTATTGCATCCTAATGCACAGATGCACATGAGGTCATGCTTAACCTTGTACCCTCACAAGTAATGCCACTGAATTTAGCTGGAGCAGAATCCAACCTGTATGTGCGCATGGAAAAATCCCGAAGGTACCTGCCAGGTGTCTGCCAGACTTCTCACAAGGGAGTGAACTGAGTGTTCCTTCACCCAAGTCATGGTTTAGAGCTCACTGAAAGTTATAGACAAAGTCCCCTCCATTTTAATGAGTTTGCTGTCAATCTCCACTTGTCCAGGTGCCATTTCTGTCTAACCCTCAAAATTTAAAACACCTCATCCAAAGCTGCCAAAACAAACAAGATCAGGCATTTGATGGGGAACTCTGGTATGAGGTCAGCCTCATTTCCTCCCTCCACATCCTTATTATGAATCTCATGTTTCATCTTTTCACGACTTAATTGTTAGCAATTCCCAATGGAATACAACATTCATTAAGTACTTCCTAATTTATCAAACATAGGTTTCATCAGGTAATTTTAATCATATGAAAATCATTCTGAATTCATTTTGATGCACAATTTCCTGTTGAAGCCTTGTGAGCCTCCTTTCCCCCTGTGTTGTTGGAAGCAACATCTCTGGTTATTCTCCTCTCTAACTTCCATCATTGCAGATGCCACAATATTTCCACAATTTTTTGCATTTATTTATGAAACTGCTGCCAACTGCTGAAGAGTTATGTCTCCTCTTTTTGTGGAGAATTGATGACCTGAATTACATTGGAAAAATTGTTTCACTTCATCCATCAAAACCCTCCTTTCCCAAAACTCAGACCTTGCAAATATGGGAATACTTGGGAGTCACCAGAGTACTTATTTATTAAAGTGGCTTTACCAAGTTGTCATATGTCAGATATTTGAGAGAAATAAGCATAATCTTTTTAAGTATGGAACAGGAAAACTAGTCCATTGCTGGGCCAAGGTGGTAAAAATGACCCAGCTCTAAATAAGCTAAGAAAGGAGGGAAAGAACAGGAAAACATAGAAAAGCAATGCAGTTGAACAATAAACATAATTCAGTTGTTTAAAATTCAGAGATGCCTGTCCCCATTCCAATCAAAGAAGGAACTGAGAGCTCTGAATGTGTATTTACAGGCAGAACTCGTTCCTGACATCTCTGATTTTTTTATCCCTATTCTTTCCCCAGCTCTTATTGCCAAAAAAAATTAGGTTTGAATGAATGCCTTGTTATTCACTGTCTGCAAGGATAATAAAGATGTTCTCTGGTTGAGAGCAGAAAGCAAGGCCTCCTGTGATCATGGGGAAAAAAGAGAGAAGCATTATGAAGAGAATCAACTGTTTTTATTAAAGGTGTTGTGTTCCTGCAGCTTTTGTCAGGAAATCCGAATAATTTGCTCCCACTTGCTTTCATTTGGAAAAAATGGCAGCCTTGTGTTACATAAAAAAAGGAGAAAGAGCCTTGTTTCTCTCCAGTGCTTCTTTTATAGGAAGGAGACAGACACACTGTGGCTGTCCACAATTGCTGCCTGGAAAGTTAGGAACAGGCACAGCCTGCCAAGAGAAATTAAATGTAATAAAAATGTTTCTGCTCAAAGTCAGAGACTGCATTTGCTGTATCACAGCCTGGGTGTTCTGAGGGCTGGAGGATGTTCTCCTTCCAGCAGTACTGGGGGCACTGAAGGGTTCTTGGGACTGATTTCCCATTGCTTTGTCCCTCAGCTGAGGATTTGTACCTGCTGCTCAGCCCCACCACGTGGGGATTTCTGAGCAACAGGCATTTTGTATTCACAAGGCCCAGCCATAAATATCTATTTTAAATCAGGTCTCCTGACCTCAGTAGACGAGGGATTCTGGACTCACATATATCCAAAACACAAGAAGACCTCAAAGTATCTTCATGTGGATGATTTGCCTTCCCCTTACTCTCCACAACACTGACTTTCCACCCAAGTTCTGGCACTGCAGGACCCCAAAGGTGCTGGTGGGACTTCCCAGAGCCTGTGTTTGTAATTCCTGGTGTGGGCAGTGCTCCATCCATGTGTATTAGTCCTTCCTACCATGGGATCCCTTTCAATCAGGGCCCAGGGAAGGTGACCCACTGGCTGCAAATGGAATCACTTCACATGGTGCCTCACTCTGCTTTAGCTGTTTTCATCCAGCATTCCCTCTGCAGACAAAGCTGGATTTCTCAGAGGGTCATTGCTAACCTCACACTTTTGCTTTAATAGAGAAGAGGTGACAGAAGCAGCAGCTTTTCTTTCAGGGAAAAAAAAAAAAAAGAGAGTAAAATCTATACTATTGAGATCCATCTTGATCTTTGGGCTTCAAAGAGGCTCTAAGTTCAGTGCTGGCCTACAGGGGCTGTAAAGGTGCTGTTAAACTGCTTTATGTCACTGTATTCTCCAGTCACAGACCTGCCAGGCCCCTGAATAAAAACATTAACTATACCATCTTTCAGCTGCTCCCCTTTGCTGCCAGCTCCATGCTGTATTCCAGCAGCTGGGAAATGAGAATTTTCTTTTCTTCTTGCCTTGCACTGGAGAAGAAGAAAGCCCTGTTTTCAGCAGCTAACGTGCTGATGTTGCTTCTTCAGGCAAACAAAACTTACTGAAAAGCAACAAGGTGTAACTCCCTTGATTGAGGCAGACTCTTTCTGCTGATATCTGTTCTTTAATGTCTTCTTTCAAACCGCATATTTTTTGCAGTTGAGTTGTGAGAGATGAGCAGCTGAGCTTCAGTGGTGTTCCTCCTCATTTTGCATGCTGCCTTCGCTGTTTTGGAGAGCTACTGAATACAAAATGAAGCTGCAAGAGTGTGTTTGCTCTACAGCCAGCAAGGCATGAAGCAGTTCTTTCTCCAGCTGTGGAGTACAGCCAGAATATTGCTCACAGTGTCGCTGGAGATGTGACTCAGTGTGTGACATTTAGTATTCCATTGTGTGACACCAGATGATTAATGCTCACAGCAAAACACGAGCTGGTTTAAATAAACAAAATTAAATGTATTTCTATGATTACAGAAATCATGTGTTATATCTCTGAGGGAACATCAGTTGCTGCTCCAAATGCTTCAGATCTGTTGGCTTGTTTTTAAATGCTGTGATTGTTCACTGGATTTTCCTACTCCATAAATCCATTGGCACTTGGGCCCAACAAGGCCAGTCAGGGATTTGGCGTGGGGTTTGGGACACAGCAGGTTGCTGCACATCAGCCTCAATCTTGTTTCATGGTCAGCAATTTACAGCATCCTATTGTTCCAACTTGGCCTTAGAGAGACATCACGAGATATAAAAGGGCAGGAGCTCAGCCCGGTGCCAAAGCAGTGGGATTCTCCCAACCCTGTCACCAGGGCACCAGACCAAGTGTCCCTGCTGGTCACTCACCAGGAGGGTGAGTCCTTTCCACTCCAGCAGAGCTGTTTTCTGTGCAATGAGTTGCTTGGGATACAGCCCAATGTGTGGAGCAGAGCCCAGTTCTGAGTGTGGTGTGTGTTCTGAGATTTAGAACAGGAATAAATACTGATTTTGTACTTCTCTACCAACTGTGTTGGAGAAAAATGAGCCTTAACTGCTGTGTCTGAGCAGGTTTAGGTAGTGTTAGAGCAGCTGAAGGCACCAGCAGCATTACTGCCATGACACACAAAAGCACAACACTGGCACAGAGACCCCTTAGTTTATCAGATTGTCTTCTTTATCAGGTGTGTGTGCTCAGTGTGAACACACCTGCAAAATTAATAATCCCCAAGCTTTATTAAAAAAAAAAAAAAGGCTTTGTACAGAAACTCTCCAAAAAATAAGCAGGGCTTTGGAGCGCTGAAGGAGATGGAAATGTAAAACACCCTTCCCACTTGAAACCCTTTCTCTGTGGAGTCATCAGGATGCATTTCCTGGGGAAACAGCAGAGACTGTGATCTGCCTTTTTCTTGAATGCTGCCCAGATTATCATGCTTACCATGAAGGGTGCAAAATGGGCTGCCAGCTGGTTAATGGCCCTTCTGAAAAACAGCCTTCTCTGTTGCTTTTTGGGAGTCACTTGTCATGGAACTATCATAACATAATCTCTGTGCTCTCGTCGTCCATGGGAAGGAGCACATTTTAAGCAGGTGTTATCAAGGCTAAGAAAGCCTGAATTAACTTATCTTGAAGATACTTCTCAGTGCACTGCTAATAAATCTACTAGAGAGTTGTTCTATCTGCAAAATACATGCCAAGTGATACAGAGGCAGCAGATCAGGAATGAGTTCTGCCAGCTCCTCATGTGGGGGTCGTGGCTCCTCTTCAGAGCCCTCCTGGTGAGCTTTGCCACTGCCCCTCGTGTTAAACACTGATATCTTTGATTTCCTCGGGGTTCTCTACCTTCATCTGTCTCCTTCTATTAACTTTGTGAATCTTCCATTAACTCTGTGAATCCCCTGTGCAATGGTTGGAGGCAGAGGAATTTGCTGCCATCGGCTTGGAGAGGCTGGAATTCATCATTTAACTCCAGGGACTGAGAGAGAGGAGCTTAGCCAAGCTGGTGACTGAGAAAGGGAGGGGGCAAACGACTTTTATATTCCCTTGCAGGTATCCTGCACTAAGGAAGAGTCCTGTAGTCTCTAAACCAAGAGGCACAGAGTGGCTTCATTATTTTGTACTGCATAATCCTATGGTTTCATGCAGTGATAGGTTAGGTTTTGCTTACTTATAAGAGTAAAATAATAAAAAGATTTGTGATTCTTGTAGTATATCCACATTTAATGAGTGCATGTGCATACACACCAAATATAACTTTACAAATTCTTCATCTTGCATGCTTATAGTCTTCACCTTTTTTTTTTTTTTTTTTTTAAACACTGGGATTAGAAACCCATTTCATATTTTCAGGTAAGTGGCCTCAAGTAATTTTTGCAAATGGGGCAAAAATTGAGTTCTTACTAATCCCACAAAATGACAGGCATGTCAGTTCCCACCCAGTTCTTTGAACTCAGGCTCCAGGGCACAGCCTGAGAGAAACCTCGAGTGGTCCAAAACTGGCTGCAACTAATGGCAATCCTTTTATGATGGGCTGTAAAGGGATTTGGAACAGGCTCCAGGTGACTGACTAAATTTAGCTTCTTCTGGTGATGCTCTTTGCTATAGGTGTTTTGGACACTGCATGATTGTTTGCTTGATTTAAACATTTAAGGTTATGGAATTAGACACCCCCTAATTTCTGCTCTGCCTATCCTGATGTATCATCAGTGAAGAGGAAGAGCTGGCAGCATCCTCAGCTTTTGTAAGGGCTTGATCCAAGCCTGTTTTACTCATGATTCCAAGCTCTCTGTCCCACACGTTATGATTCAAAAGCTCAGTAATTAGGAGGTCACCTCCTCAGAACACTTTGTTCCATATGTGTATATAAACTGAACTTGGAATGACACTGGAAAATGCATGAATTATAATCACTCAAGGTTACCCTGTTCAGCTTGCACCCCAGGAAACTGCAACAGGAAGACTAGTTCTGAAATATTGGGATGATTCACAAATAACTTCTCATCAAAAAACTGATGTGAACTTATAAACTGGAGAAACTCACATTTACCAAGTCTTCTGACAATGACAAAAGCCTCAAACAAACAGGCTTTTTGTGTCACACTGTTGGTGACCAGTGAGATTTGACATTGTCCAGACCACGATCCTTACAGCTTTCAGGGCAAGATGGATTTCTTGATGTCTTTTATTTCTTATCACATTCTGACATATTTTATTCACTCTGCTCAGGTGCTGCTATCACAGTTACCACCTGCAAGGATTCCAGCTTGGGTTTAAAACACAGCTCTTAACAAATACCTGTAAATAGAGCAAAAATATTAAACTATGACTGGGTCTAAACTCTTTTGGTAGTAGAATACTTGAAAGAATGGCTGAAGCTCATCTTTTTCCAAGGGCAATTCCAATCCCTTAACGAGAACACTAAAGATGTGAATTAGACACAATCCAGATTTCCTCTCTATGTTTTTCCTCCCTTCCTTAAAAGCACTTCTACACAAACACAGAACTGTTTTTCTGTAGGAATTTTCCACCAGTTTGTCCAAAAGATCACTCTTCCACAGGGAAGATGTGTGTTTATGAGAGAAAAGGTAGTAAACCAACTCGTAATCAGTAGAGTATGTGTCATATCCAAATCATCATTCCTGTTGTGAGTCAGTGTGGCTGAAAGATAAAAACTCAGGCAGTGGGTTAAATTCCTGAGCTGCGGGAACAATTTCAATTCTTTCCTCCACCAGGTCCTGGTAGACCTAGAATTTTACAAGCATTATCTGTGTCTTGGATAATATATTTATCTTTCCAACCTTTCTCCATTACCTGCCTGCCAGAGTGAGGGAATAAGCCTGATATCCTTCATTACCTCACAGCCTTGACTATTGCACTGTGCTATTGTCTATAAACTGCAATTTCAACTGCATTTTGAGTACATTACTTTTGTCTATCTTTTCATTCAGTTTTTGTCTACTGCCTAGAGCAGCTGGTCCATGATGGGTTTCTAACTAGTGCTGTAAAATGAAAAATGTTCCTGTGGACGTGGTTGTAAGGCAGTGCTTTGTAAAAAGAATGTCATGTGAGCGTCTTGGACTAGGAGGGTGACAGATACATCGTGTTAATGAGTTGCAAAGTACCAACTGTGTGCACTGAGAATGGTTCTTCACGTGTAACTTTGTTTTCCAGCCCTGATCCAGTGCCAGCTGGAAGCCAAAGAACCCGGTGAACAGTGAACAGAGATCCCAGTGAGCAGCTGGAGTCTCCCTCCTGTCTGGACCCCTGTGACTGTGACAGCTTGATCCAAACCCCTTGGAGACCACAGGCAGTTTTACAAACTAAATTAATCCGCAGTTTTTCATCAGGTGTGCCAGCAGATGCAGAGCAGCTCACAAGGGAAGTCAACTCAGTTCTTGCTGGTATTATCTGAGTTACCAAGGTACTGGTTTCCTCCTCCCTGGCACTGGGGTTTGGGGGTAACTCATCCATCTCTTTCTAATCCATGTATTTCCATTTTCCAACTGCAGGGACAAAAGCAAGGATTGCCCAATTCAAGGGACAGAAACAACTCAAGAACGAGCTTGTAAACACTTTTGGAGAAGGCCTTGTTGCCACTTTAAGAAAACCCTTGTAGGGACATTATTTGCCTCTGGCTCAGGAAGAGGGAACACCTGCCAGGGAATCTGCTCCTGCAGAAATTCCAGTGACACTGTGTGAGGCAGCAAGGGAGGGGGGGGATTTAAGAGGTGTAACAAAAGAGAACAACAGAACAATAGGAGCAGTATATCACTGACTTCAGCCCCAGTTATTTCTCTCTTATAGAAAAAAAATCATATGTCCTGTTGCAGCACTGACTCCAAACTAAGCCCAGCACGGCTCTGGGGCTGTTCATGGAGACAGGCTGGAAGAACAACCTATTTCTGTTATCTCCCCACACCCCCAGCACACAATGCATCCTCCAGGCCAACAACTGGATAAGAATTCTCCTGGATGAAGTTCATCCAGCAATCCATCATCAAAGATTCAGAGCAAAGTTTGCAACACCAAGTATTGGGGTTTGTTCCCCCCGTCCCCAAATATTAATCCCAGAACCTGGGTCTATCTATGATCCAAACTCATTGATTGTACAACACCTACATCCACCTAAGTCCCACTCAGGCTGTTCAGCTTTCCAGCACTCCCACAGGATTACTGTCAATAGGAAAGTCCTTCTTAGCTCCTTAGGATAGAGTGACATCTTGTGGTTTCTTCTTTTGTCCACCATTGACAAATAAAAATTAGCCAAAAAAGCTTTGCCTGAGTTTGGTTTTGTTTGTTTCTGGGATAACTCCAACATGTTATTTGTTTGAGGAATATCATGTTCTTGATTCTCAGACACTGAAACAACAGTTTACTTTGCCAACACCAAGACTTGTGGAAAGAGAGTGAAAATTAGTGCTTGGAACAGCAACAAAAACATTCTAATTCATAAACACAAATTCTTGTTTAAAGGTAGAATCTACAAAAATGGGTGCTCAAAATCATTTACAAGTGGGATCTTATTAGTTAAATTCATTATTAGTTAGATATATTAGTTAAATAAGTCAATCTCCAGCAGTAGCCCCACTACTAAAAGGATTCTTAGGGAAAATACTCTTTCCAACTGCAGCTCTGGAAGGCATTCCCACCTGGACTCCAGGTGTGCAAGGAATTATTCTTCTCATGCTTCAACTGCAGCTGCAGCACAGAAGGATCTCAGTAATCAATGCTACACCACGGGTCACTTACACAGCACAATTAGAAAAGTTACAGTGATTTATTTTCTGATTTAGTCTCCAACACAAAAAACAATTCTTCATTTTTTTTTAAGACTACACAGCTGAACTCACACATGAGCTACTGCTGACAAATTCCCCTTGCCAAAAAGAGATCCAAACAAAAAGACAAAATTATTTTGCTGGTTTTGTACTGAAAAAGCAAAAGCATCTTTGAAAGGAACCTTATACAAAATCGAGAGTAAAACCCATAATGGAGGAGTATTCATGTACCTCAATAAATTGGTAGCAATACTTAGGATATTATTCCCACTGAAAAGCAGTATTGTTTGAGAGCTGTTCTCATTGTGGTCTACAACTGACATATTTGCATAAGTTGGAAATAAATCATGTTGTTGAAAACCACATAATTCTCACTTTTCTAGAAACACAAAAGGGCCGTTTTGCATCTGTAAGGACCAGGAGAGCAGCACGTGAAACCACCAGCGTTTGCATTTCTGTTCCTGCTGGTTTTTCTATGTGCCCACTCAGGCAGTTCTCAGAATTAGATCTGGAATGTTTAATTCCTCATCATTCCAGCTGTACCCCTGCTCAACCCAACTGCTGGGGAAGGCTGTGCACTCGCCTGATATCCTCTGTGAACACTCCTGCCTGCCAGCTGTCCTTCCAAAATTCCATAGCTTCAGTTCAAATCTCTCTCCAGTCCTTCCCTCTGTAGGAAGCCTCTATTGTTGCCAGGAACTGGTGCAAAGAAAAGGCAAAACTGGTCAGGAAGAACTTCTGAGGGACCCAAAAAAAACCCATTGGCTTTCTTGTGTGTTTTCCAGATCAGATGAGCACCACAAAAATTAGCCTGAAAAAAACATTATGGCTTAAAAATCAGGCTCCCATGAGATTAAACCCACAAGAGATCCTCAGCATGTGGGTCACATTTACAGACATGAGGGGATGTTCACAGAAGTATTAAAATATGAAGAATGAGCCCTTGTATAACCCCCATCAAAGCTCATTTTACCTGCAGTGACACTAGTTCTGTGTCTTGGTAAATTTAGCCCCTGCTCATGGTGAGCAACACTCCCTTTTTGCCCTCCCAAGCAGAAGATTTTCAGCTATCCAGAACTAAAATTGCAATTTTTGTCTAAATTTACATGCAAAACCTTCTCACCAAGCCTAGACTATAATATATAAGGATAATAAGCAACAGCAACACACTAAGGAGCCCCATTTTTGAAACAATTCAAGAAGGCAGGGCCAGAAATGTGTTCCAGTGCCCTTTCTCCAGGGGAGCACAACCAGCCTCCACAGAGAATATCCATCACATCCCAGATCTGCACCAGCAGGAGAAAAGACTGAACAATGTGTCAGATTTTGGAAGCCCTCCTTGCATGAATAACTTTGTGAGCAGTATCTGTGCTGCTCTGCAGTGAATGAGTGCCAGAGAAGCCCATGACTGAAGTTCAGGCAGTATGCATTTGTTCCCATAGAATTCCAAATTCCAAAGGCAAAACTCCTACTGACTGAGAAGAAGCCCACTTCTTATCCAAAGGTTTGTGCTGATGATGTGTTTCAGAGCAGCTCCTCCCTCCTTTTCCCCTGTTCTCTCACGTTTTTAACAACTCCTGTTCTTTTTGTACTTTGCACAATGAGGGAGGAAATAATTACATGGCTCTCTGCTGACAGTGGGTACTTCTCCTCATCTTCCAAATGGAAACACCAACTAACTCTCCTGCTAATATTTACTTGTGCTACGTGTCATTCTCCTCTCTGTCAGTTTATTCTCAAGAAAAAGTTAAGAAATGAAAAGGATTGCATTTTTCCTTTAGACATTTATTCATGAATTTTTAGACACTTAAAATTAAGGTGTTTTGTTTTTGTTTTTGAGATAGAACATTCTAGATCCCTGAAGTGAGAGAGTGAAAAGCTCAGGCTGAAGTAGAACAACTACTCTGGGGGAGAAAAATATGTGCACACGAATGACTTTACTACTCAAGTATTTTACTTCAGTCACACACAGAGCTGTTCTGCACTGACAGGGCTCAAATATTCATGCCATCAACTTTTATTGTCATCAACACTTAGGGAGGGTCAGTGGCAGTCACATGCAGGAGCATCCAGAAAAGCAACATTTGAGAATCACGGGGGAGAGTTCACACAAAGTCGACCACAGTCAGAGAATAAAATCCACTCGGCTTCATTTGTTCCATTCCCCCCCGATCAGCCAGCAGAGCACAGGCTGTTCACTGCTCTGACAGGAACAGGATGAGAGCACATTGTCCACATGGAGCTCTTAGAAATCACCACCAAGGTTTGCCATTTGCATTATTCAGAGCTGCACATTCTGCTCCTGTCTCATTGATCAAGTCAGTCTTTGGACCGTAAAAAAAAAATTACAAATAATGGGTTTGCAGTTTCCTGCTTTACAATCCACTAGAACAAGAAACAGTTGTTGACATGTACACAACTTTATTTTAAGGACACAGCAATCACAACAACAGAAACAGAACCATTACTTTAACACTGTAAGCTTCCCTCTGGGAACTGACTTGCACGCAGTTAGATCCGAAAGCGTTTGAAACAATATCTTGGGGGGGAAACACAGCAAACCTTAAATATATTAACTTCAAACTTTATGTGCTTATCTCCTCTTTTTGGTGGCTGGTGGCAGTTAAAGCTTTTCAAAGTCATGGCCACTTGTGTTCATTGCTTCGGGGTGCATTACCCTTCCCATGAATAGCACAGTACCTGTGGGGAGAGCGGGAAGGGAGGAGGGGATGGAGAGATGTCAGAACCAAAATTAAATGTGAGGGCATGAGATAATGAACACCAATAATAAGCTCTAGAGCACGTGGTGCCTGATTCTCAGAGGAAGATACAGCAGAGAACTTGGTGGCCATGAAAGGCAATGGCTTAACAGCCCCTTTGAACACAGTAACCAACCCTGAGCACTTGGGGTTGCCTTGAGAAGAAGGGTCACTATCACAGACCTTTTTTCCAAGAAGTTTTTAACCTTAGATTTCCAGATTAACAACAAGCTTTGAGGCTTTAACTACAGTTGTTGGCCATTCCTCTTTCTACATGCAACAGCAATGTTTAGAACTGTCCCAAAGCAACCGGGTTCTGTTTTATTCTGATTTGTAGTTCTCTTTTCGGGGAGATTTTTGGATACTGAGTAGGGAAAAAGGACAGATCTCCTCATCCAGATACATTTTTTGCCTAATGGGTCTACAACAGCAAGGATACTCAATTTAGTTTGGTCAAAAAAAACCCTTAAGAGTTGGTATCCTGCCTTGCTGGCCTCATTTCAGTTGGGATGAAGGTAATTTTCTTCTTAGTATCTGCTCCAGTGCTGTATTTTGAATTTTGTACAAGAGAAAAGTCACAAAAGTGACTCTGCCCAGCTGGACTAGAAGCATTACTGCAATCTAAATGAACAAACAAATCTAAATAAACATTGCTACCTGTGGTGGGGATCACAAGCACAGACCCACGTGACAGTCTGTGAGTGCACAGGAAGGTTTTACATCCAGTCACAGCCACATCATTAAGACAAATTACAAATACGAAACTGAGGAATTACTTAATCACTGCCCATTTAGTTGGTGAGGGTTGTTCTCATCCCTCACCTGCCACAGAGCACTTGGAGAGCACACCAGAATTATTCATGGCTGTAATATCTGTCCATTATGCAAATCATTTGGTGCTGGGAACGTATTTCACTGGTCTTGCTACAGCCAAGCTCTGAGGGGATGCAGTGATTACTGATGTTCAGGGCAGTAACTCTGTGTTCTCACAACAAAAATGGTGAATTTTTCTTCCCTGGGGTTTTTAATCACATCACTTTGAATGGTTTTTTTTGTCAGATTTCGACGTCTTACTTGGAGAAACATTCAGGGGGCACAGAAAAGGTGAGTCTTTCAATATTAGGTTTTTAAAAGGAAAATTATTAATTAAGGAAATGTCATAATAATTAATGAAAATTCATAACACAAGCCCAGTTCATTGATCAAAACACGCAATTTTCGTTTGAATACTTGATGATGTGCTGTGAAAAATTCAAAAGTCTGCAATATTCTCACCTGTTCTTCTGTTTCTGACCAAAAAGAAAAAGGGATGGTCAACTATAACTTGGGGATACAGCACTGCCATCCTGCTGATGGCAATCATTCCTAGAGGAAAGAGAACACAGGCAACTTGTTAAACAGCACAGCACTTCTGCTCCTCAGGAGAGACACTTCTGCAGCCCAGGGGCTGCCACTGCAGTCCCACACTCCACACCAAGAAATAGGACAATATTAACTGAAAATGAGAGGGACCTGCAGAGTAATTTTGGCTTTAAGAATGACTAACAATGCAGAGCAGTGCAATTGCCCAGGCTGAGGGAGCAGCTGATAAATTTTAAGATCCAGAGCCTTCAGAGGAGTTATGATTCCCCTCACTTGTGGAAGGGGAGTGAGCTGCATTAGCCAGCACTGCTGACCTGTTTTACACAGCTCCAGCCTGAGGTGCACAGTAAAAGGTAACCCTTAATAACCATGGAATGTGCCACAATTAAATGGGCTGATCCTGCAGCTTTTATATTGTGTTGATAAATAATGCAGAGGCTGAAAGTAAAATTAACTGAGAATCGGGCAGAATTTGACTCTTTTGTTATTTTTATTTGGAGATGCATAGATTTCTCCAGGACATTATTATTAATTCCCAGTGTTTCATTTAGTTTCAGGTTTCCCCTGCACTGTTCACACAGACTCCAGCATTGCCAGTAATCTCTGTCCATATTAATGCCACAATTCAACCCAGCCTAGGGAAGCAATTCTTCCTTTCCTCAAGGACTGGCACAAGCAGAGGCAATTGGAAATCACCTGATGATCCATATTGGCAACTAATGTGACTTAATTTTAGGAAAACCGTGTGATAATCACATCAACCAACCAACTGCCCCCAGCATTAACAGGGGCCAGTAATGGTTTTGCATTCAGCACTTCCCATCTTGCATCTCAGAGTATTGCTTATTAAAATTGCTTATTAAAATGCAATTGCAACAACTCCCTTCTCCTTCTAACCACTCTGATCAAATGCCTCTGACCATCTCAATTAGCAGATAAAAACCAAGAAAGCTGAAGTTCCATAAAGAAAATATAAATTGCAGTCTGTCAGCCTGTACTCTCCTGACAATCAGAAGGAAAATATGGAAGAAGAGGTTTTTCACAGGAGGCTCAAAATCCTTCGTGAAACACAACATGTTGAAAAAAAAATGCCAACACTTCATTTCCAGAATTCTCCTCTGAAAGCAGTACCTTGCTATGCTGTGTCCCCATCCTATTTAGCTTTCCTGGCTGTACAGCAAGTCAGCTTTAAAAAATTAATTAACACAGAATAACCAGACATTTGATTTAGTTCTGCTTTTCAGTCGGTACCTGAGGCAGCAGCAGCTTCTGATCCTTCCTCATTAACTTCTAGAAATGCCTTGTGAAATGCCTTTGCAAGGTAAAGTTCCTTGTTATCTGGAGAGGAAAAGGAAACACATTTCAAGTGGCTCAACAGTAAGACTGAGGTGTTTAAAAAAAAAAACCCAAACACTGCCAAAAACCCCAACACTATTATTCACCTTCTATACCAGGCAGGGAAGGATAAGAGCTTTGTTGCATTAAAATACCTTCTGCCAATACCTTTAATAGCACCATTTACCTCACTTAAATTTGTAATGTTCTCCTACGGCACGGATATTAAAATAGCTCAGGACTGCCTAGAGCACCACTATCCCAGAGAGGGTAAAAAACAATCCTTGAAAATAAGATTTTAAATACAACTATTGGAAAAAAGGATTATGACATTATATAGCAAATACTCAGACATAAAGAATTTTACTTCTGTGTTAGGTACAATACAGACTTTCTCTGGGAAAATTAGGTCTTTTCTTTCTTCTTCCATTCTATTTTGAAGAAGCTGAACATCAACATTTATTGCCAAACCCACTGTGAAACTTGGTTTTTTTTTAGTCTTGTTTGTTTTCCATCCTTCTTTGTCAGTATTTTTATTTCAGTCCAAGCCTCCTCCTGTTTAAGTCTGTGAGTGTTTCATTACTTTCCTTCAGTGGCTAAAGGATCAGACCTACTGGAACACTCAGTAGTTCTAACACTAAAGCAAGTCAAAGGCACAAGAAGCAGCAGTTTGAAATGTCTCTCCCCAGCAGATCTCACTGCACTGAATTAAACCTCCTGCTTCAGCTGCTTCGTTTCAATCCCACCACCAAGAGCCCCCAATCATCCCCTTGGGGACTGTGGGTATAAAACATATACAAGGCTGCTAAAAATTGTACTAGTTCTAGGCTTCAGTTCCAAGCCTTCAGTAAAGCCATCCTGAAAGCTGGGCTCAAGTTTCCAGCCCGTTACTTTAAAAAATGGGACATGTAGCCCCTACCTATCTTGAACATTAGGCAAAAATCTTAAACCCAAATACATTTTTAACGTTTAATAACAAAGAGATTCCTGCTTAGCCTAATCATGCTTTTCAATCCATCTTTTGTTACCACAGCACTTAACCCAGATCCTGTGACCTGTAACAGTCCCAGAAATACTCTGTATTTTCATCCCCAATGCTTTATTTTGCAGAATGTGGTGGCACTTCTGGAACTCAAGGTACATTTCTGGTCAGAGCACTTTGTACCTCAGAAGATTGGCCTCCATCTGATGAGCTCAGAGACCCTAATTCTGACAGCACAAACACTGCTGACATTTGCCATCAGGTGTAAAAGCAGGTCTACTTCAATTCAGGATGTGAGTATTAAAAAAAGCAACAACATCTAAAGTTGACAGGAACAGAAGTGTCACTGCAGATGAGACCAACACACCCAGTTAGTCCAGCACACTGCACCAGCTCTGGCATTGTTGTTGCTCCAGAAGATCCAAGTCACCTCACAGATGAAAACTACAGCACAACTTACAAGAGAAAAATATGCCTTATACCCTAAACCAAGTTTCTAATCCCCAGAATACACAGAATGCCTTTATTCAATGTACCATAGACAGCTGTCATTGCTCTGAAGCTATTTTATTTTTTTTAATCCTACCAACCTCATAACCCCAAGGAATGCCCAGCCAAGATAAGCTGGATAAGTTTTCCATGAGAGAAGCACTTTCTATTTGTTTTCAATTTGTTGTCTTTCACTTCATTGGATATCTTTGTCCTTGGATGATGAAAAGAGCAATTCCACATCCCAAATTACTTTCTCTAGGTTCTCCTCTTCATAGTGGCACTGCCACATCCCTCTCACTCATCTCTCCCTGAAGTGAACGAATCTATTTTCATATGAAAGCACAATGTTGTCACTGGGAATTCAGGCAGCTCCTCTTTGATGCAGTTGGTGATTGTCACGTCACTGACTGCACAACTCCAGCATCACATCTCCTCACAATTATCCATCTTTCCTTATGGCTTCACTGGGGACAAGGTGGGGCTCACCTGAGGATCTGCCATCACATCATTCCTCTCTAGCAGCTTCTTCAAATGTGGATTTTCATAAGAACCAACATGATTTGGTTGTTAACACCTCAGGGAAGTCCCATGGGGATGTGGTGCCAAGGTTTAAGCTTTGTGCAGGACCCAAGCCCAGATCCCCATTAATGAGTGGGAGGGATGTGAAGCTCCCTCCTGATGTCCAGGACTCCACGAGCATCACACTTCATTTGTCATCACACTCCATCTGTCTGCAAACTCCTACTCAGCTGCCAACTGGCTGCTCTGCAAGACTCATTTTAAAGAAATCATGAAGGTTTATTGGCTCTTCCAGCTTAGGTTGTCCCAGAAAAATTATATGTACATCAGTCAAGACTTCAAAGAGCCATTTACTGGACTGATGCTCTTCTAACTACTTTATACTGTGAAAGTAAGTCACTGAGATCACTTCACTGCTCACTGCCACACAGGTCACCTTGCATTAAAGGCAGCTGCCATTTAAGACTCCATAAAGCAGTAAGAAATATTATAATCATTTGAAAGAGAAAGGGAATTTCAGTATTGAAATTAGTTCAAGGGTAAATCTTAAGTGGTGTCAAAATACTCAAGCAGTGAGTTTATGTGCTGTGTAAATTCTAAAATGCCAAATATCAGAAGTTGTTTCAAGATTCTTTTGGATATCTGATGGAATCAGATACAAGTAAATACTGTCAAGTCTTTTGATGAAAGTGAGAGTCAGAGCATATGTGACCTGACAGCCAAGGAGGGATGTCCTCCTACTCACCTGGGATAATTGACAAAGAACTTAATTTCTGTGAGGGAGTAACATTTGAAATGTGCCTCTGGATTAGAACTTCCTCTTGGGTTGCTCAGAATCCAGACATTCCAGAGGGTAAAGCCAACTCCTCCATTTCCATTTTTCAGATTGAGTGCAAAAAAAGCACAGAATTCTCAATATTGAAAAATAAGTCTGTAATCCTGCAATTTGCCTTGTATCCACTAAACCCACATGGAATTTTGCTGAACCCACCAATGTGCCTGGATCTGTTCACAGGATTAGGGCTGTTGCTGAAATTGCAGCGACTTTCCTTGACAGTAAAGCAAAAGCAACAGGAGAGGGGGAGGAAAGTATTTTTAAACACAACAGAATTCCTCAAAAATCTCCTTAGATTTCATTTATGATTCATGTCTTCCTAAATTAAGTGTCCAGGCAAAGATTTTGTTCCAATACCTGCATTTAACGTTCCGTGAAGCACCAAATATTCCAGAGGAACTGACTCTGAGATTCACAGAAACTTCCAACTTCCACTTCCCTGCTACCTGATGTACCATTCTGGTGTTTGTAAAAACAAGCTTTGAACAAATTTTCTTCATGATTTTTATTTTCCCTTCCTCCCTCCACATTTCACGTTATGAAAATTAGAAATAGGAAACATACTCTGTATTTTCATTATTTAAAACTTCACCTCCATGGCATCAACAGTGGGGTTTTCATTAAAGACATTAATTCAAAACCATTTTTTTTTTATTTCTTAATTTACAAATGACCTTTTCATCCCCTGGTGGCACATCCCCTTTTCAGTGAAAAGCAGGCAAGTTACAGTGAAACTCATGAATTCTCTCTGTACACTGCTCTGTACTCAACAAACAAGTTAATCTTTAAATGGCAGAGGAGTTAATTCGGTCATGCAGAAGAGGGTATTTTGATTTTATACAGTACAGTTGTCAAAAATAGAAAACTTGAAACAAATCACTGGTCACATGGATTAAGACACAAGCACCTGATTCTTTCTGCCAACCTCTCCACTACAGAATTAGTTTCTGATACAGAGATGAATTTTATATGGAATTAAATAAGAGCCAGGAGCTGCCTTTGTGGTTCCATCTCTGTGTATTTTATGTTCTCCTTAATGCTTTTCCTCAAGTAAATAATTTTATATATATAGACCAGAATTTATTGGAAAGCTGACTGTTCTCTGAGGTTGCACAGAAATCAAAGGTGTTTTTCGCCAGAAAAAATGCTATTTCTTTGAAGAAGGATTTTTCATTTATTTCAATTCCTTTCATTAGCTAACTCTAGCTTTTCCCACAGCTTCACTGGAAAAGTGAAATAAGCTCCATGATACACTAGAAACAGGATTTCAGACTTAGCAAAAACGGAAGGATGTGGACATCACAAACATTGCTCTGTGCATTTTCGAGGAAGGTTTGACTTATTACCAGCACTTTGAATAAGCACCCAGGTGTGACTGTTCCCAGGGACTGACAGTGCAGAACAGGGATTGCCAATCAGCCAAGGATCTACCTGGCTGGTTGGGCAGCAACACATGGAGCAAAACAACCCAAAAAACATAGAGGGAGCAGTGTAGAGGCATAAATTACAAGGACAAGGACAGCAGTCTCATACTGCTTCATTTTGGGTTTCCCAAAATTCAGGTCTAGACAGACTATATTAATAAACTGCTCACCTGGCTCCTCCTGTTATGTAAAGATGAATCAACTTCTCAGGCATTTTTGTGCCACTTCAACAGAGAAGCTGTGGTTGCCCCATCCCTGGAAGTGTCCAAGGCCAGGTTGGACAGGGTTTGGAGCAACCTGGACTAGTGGAAGGTGTCCCTGCCCATGGCAGGGGGGTGGGTCTGGATGAGCTTTGAGGTCCTTTCCAAACCAAACCATTCTGTGATTCTATGAACACCTTTTAGGAGGTATTAAAAAGGAGGTATTAAAAATTATCTCATTCCCACCTGAATTTTTAAACGTATTGGATATTTCAACTTGTGAAAATTAAGTATTGACAACATATTGCAGCAGGCAGGCAGCATCTGTGACTAAATGGCTTTTATTTCAGAACTCTTCTTCCATCCACAGGTATCTGGGGAGATGACTAATTGTACAACAGCTTAATGCTCTTAATGCTGGGAACAAACAGCCTCTAGGGATACAAGGATGACAATCCCTTGGTGTGGGAATCTCCTCGGCCAGGGAGGCACTGCAGCCATTCACTGCTCTCACAGTATCACACTTTCTCTAATTTCTAGTGAGAGCCAGGTCTGAGATACTCAGAGTGAACATTCCCAGGTAAAAAATGGATTTCCTCATATACCTTGAGAGACAAGACATGAACCTCTTACCAGACATGGCAGTGAGGTCAGCACTGCTGCTGAACAGCTCTGTAATTCCCAGCCCTCTCCAGACTTCTTTCAGATCAATCTCCTGTTCTACTGTGAACCTGCAGAATGGAAGAGAAAATCACAAACAGCCAGATGTGAGCACTGCTTACTGGTATTAGAAGATTCAAATTTCTAGGTAAAAACACCAAGATAAATAATGCAAAGGAGAAGGTTCACTGCTAGTGACACCTTCTAAAAAATGCTTATAAACAAATTAGTTTACTCACAGCTGGATCTTTTTTCTAATACACAAGCAATCAAAAATATGTTAATGGTATGTACAGCCCGTGACCATAAAACCTCAGTGCTAAATTATGCAGCAGTAATGGAAATGATTACTTTTTATACGAGAGGTTTACTACAAAAACTGAATTTAATTGTATAAATACTAGAACAGAATATCAAATGAGGCAAATAACAGCTGATTTTCATAGAGAGCTGTGGGCAAAGAAGGAGTGGAAAGTAAGAAAGATACTCCACTTTCACCGTGATAGTATAAGCAAAGACCAACAGCTATGAATATGAACATAAAGCATTCCTGACTCAGCTTCTAATTAGTCTGGTGGCAAAATTGTAATTGGGTTTTGATTGTGAGTAAACAACAGGGAAAACAAATAGTTGTCAGTGTAAACGCACACGTGAGTACAAGCTGGCAGGATTTCACGGGGAGCCTGCAAAGCCTCCTTCTAGGGAATGTTACTGTGCTGGAAGGACAAACTGAGACCTGTCCTGAGGGCAAGACCTGGGGCAAAAGCTCCTTCCATTTCTAATCACTGCTTTTCAAACAGCATCAAAGCTATGCCTGGTGTCAGTGAGACCAAAAAAAAGACTGGAGTCCTTTCTGTGTGGCCAGAAACAGACTGGACAGCTGGAGAAACAAAGAAATGTGTCAGAAAAATAATAATAATGGCAGAAAATACCAGATGTCTACAGACAAACACAGGGGACCGAGTACAAATGTTTGTTATGGGTGAGTTGTGGGTTCTCTGTGGAATAAGCAAGCAAATTATCAGTGATTTACATTATGATGACAGTGACTGGTTATAACTATGGAATAACAAAATTTTTAGTCTGTAAGGTGTTGTCAGAGTTTCTCCAGCCACTGAATCAAAAACAACCCTGCAGTTACCCTGCAGCCCTCAGTGATGGCACAAAGAAGTGCCAGAACCAAATAAGTGTTTCTGTGCAATCTCATTTTTCAGGATTAAATTCCCTCAAGTTCATAGAAGAACATGTTCTTTTCAGGAGGAAGTGCAGCCCAGAACTCTGGGCAGAGCACAGCTCATGAAGAGCTGAGATGTACAACCCAGCATGTGCAAACCTGGCAGCTTGAAAAAGAGGAATCTGGACATCAAAATAGAACTGGATGAGAGTCAAGTGGATCTTCCTCACACAGAAGGAGAAAAATCCAGCACACAATCTACATTCATAATGAACTTACAAATGCCTCTAGAAGCCAAAAATCTCTGAAGGGATGGATATTAGTCATTACCCACAGAAGGATTTTAGGAGTAAAATAAGATCTGTAGATAGTTCAGGATTGATAAATCACTGGTGGTATTGCAAGTGTTCATGTATCTTGTCCAGAACAATTCCAGGACACGCCTGGAATGAAAGTAATGGAACTGGTTCTTGTGATTTTATTGCTTTGGTAGTTCTCAAAAGAGTCAGAAGAGACCAACAAAGACTTAAGTACTGCAGGAAGCTCCTCATGGTGTTCTGGCATGTTCTGCATGGCGAAGCATTTGTTAAAAAAAGAGGATAAAAGGCATTATTTTAATGAAGGAGATGTGGGTAGACATGAGATGACCTGAAAATACACAACAGGATTTCAGGAAATGGAAATGTGTCCTGTGAGCTTTCTTTTCCTCCTGGAAAGCTTACACTGGTCAAAACCAGACTTACACTGGTCAAAACCTACCTTACAAACAGAGAAGGCATATGAATGTTAAAATGCAGTTTATAAAAATTTCAGTGCTGTATATTTTCCTTTCTGGCTTTTGTTTCACCCCACTATTAAATCTATTAAGGTTTCAACACAATTTAGGTAGGGACCAGCAATGTCAAACCAGTGAGGAAAGCACCAAGTCAAGTCTGCATGAAAATCAGAATTGGAGGTAAAAAATAAGAAAAATAACTGAAAAAAAGAGTATTTTTTCCAACTGCAGGGTATCAAATGCAAACGAGGTGGGTTTAAGTCTCTGGCTAATTAGACAGGAAACACACATTTACTAAGCCATGGATTGTGACCCAGAAGGGAAGTGTGGCACAGGATGCCTTTGCAGACTGATCAGGGAGGGTTTGGGAGATGTTTTGGGAAAAAAATAAACCTGTAAAGCCTCAGCTGAACATGGATCTGGAAAAAGGGAAAGTAAAAAAGTTGATTGGTTCTATTGCTCGAGAATCCCTGTGTGAAGGACAGGAGCAGTCCCTTAAAATAGAGGCTCTGTCCCCAACTGAGACCTCTGGAAAGGTAAATTCCAAACAGGTGCATGAGGGAAGGTCTGCACAATATCTACAGGAGTGAGTTCCTGCTTTATTTGTCATAAAAAGCAGACTAAAAATATCACATCATCAGCTGTTTAAATATCAAATGATCCCTTTATGGAAATAAGACTAATTACTTCCCTTCTCCCCTCTTTTAGTTCTGTCCTGTGGTAAATCCCCACTCCAAACCACTGTTCCAAATAGTATCCCCCCTCCTTTTCCTCCTGCTCTGAAAAGCAGGGAGAGTTACAGATAAATTATTAATGAGATTTCCAATATTTTAGCTGACACCAGAACCAGCCTTTTCTGAGAAACAACAGGGCTGCTTTACACTGGGAAATTTAATTCCAGGCTGTGCAATCCCGTGTTAACACTCAGGGTGAGTTATCTTCCATCACATTTGGATTTCTGTGCATTCCTCACAGACAGTGATGTCAATGTTCAAAATCAAAGCTGACAACTCAGAACACAGAGCTGACATTCCATCTCATTTCCCAGGCATCTGCTGCACCTCCAGACTTTGGGAATGCCGAGCTACACATGATTATTTGCAGTGTTTGTTGCATATAATGAACCAGATGGTCATATTATTTTGCCCCTACAATCATTTAGGTGCTCCTGATGCTAAAAATACTATGAAAAAAATCAATTTCAACACTTTAGTATCAGAAATCATGGAATAGCTGCAACTGGGAGCTGTAAAAACCACAAAGGGAAGTCTGAGGAACAGACACTGAAGAGAAGATTAGATTGAGAAACCAGCAAAAAATTCTCTGGAGAGTTCATCAGGGAACTGGGACATTTTAATGAAATTTAAAACTTGCACAAGCATTAGATTAAAATGATGCATTTATGTCACTGAGAGTCTTCTGAAGTTCTGTATCTGAGCCTTTAGGTTTTGCAGAGAGCATTAATACACCACATCAGGCCATCTTTCTTCTATTTTACAGACATTCAAGACAGGAAAAAAAAAAAGATGGCTTCATGTTTTATGATGTTGTGCAAACCTTCCATAATGCTACATTTTTTCTGATTTTTAGATGCTCAGGATTCCCAGAAGGATCAGGGGACACTGTCTTGTCATCCAGCAGAAAAATGACTCATCCCAAAGTGTATCATTTCAAAAATTACTAAGGGTTCTGAACGAGCCAGAGCAAGAAAATTCCAGGTTTTCAGATTGGTTCTAATACATCCAATTCTGCAGAACAAAAGGCTCCATTGCTTGACATCAATATTCTTGCTTGGAGGGCAGGCTCTGAGGATCTGAAGCACTATTTTTACCCCAGCAGCCCCTCCAGTGCCAAGCTGCCAGCTGATATCAATTCCAACATTTCGGCTGGAATTTCAGCTGGGCTGTCCCGAGGTGCCAGAACCAGCCTGAATGATTTAACAGCCTGAAAACAAACAAGCAAGAGAGCAAAAAAAACCCCACTGACAGCAAAACCAACCCCAAAACTCCCACTCATCTGCTCTGGCCAGGTGAAGAAAGGCAGGTTGTGGGTTTTTCTCTGACAAGATCCTTCTTTCCAGGGCTAAATATGGGCTGAGAATGGATTTCAGGGGGACAGTTGTATGCCTTTTTTGTGGTTGTATCTCCAGTACATCCAGCACTGGCCCATTCCATTCCTCATGAAAAGAGGACTTGAGACAGCAGGTTAAAAACCAAAAGACAGAGGATTTTTTAATTTGGGCTTAGATTTTTGTTGGCTTTTTGAGCGCTTTTGGGGTTTTTTGTCTTTTAGAGAAAACAACCTTCAGCTAAAACCACTTATTTCAGCACTGTCTAAAGCATTTTTAAGGTATTTTAAGTGTACAAAAAAGCAAGGTTATTATAGAGATTTGGAACACTCCTTAAGAGTGTTCTGCAAACTGTAGCACTGCTATTAGGTACCAGTTCCTCCTCTGCTCTTCAAATAATTTATGTTACAGAGACAGCTTTGTAAATTAGATTCATGGTCTGTTTCACTCCTATACAAAAAGTGGATTAAAATGTTGATCATTTTAGTCCGGGTTAAGCTGGAAACAATGATTTGGAAATGAAAATGAGAAAGTATAATTTAACAATTCTGTACAAATCTCTCCTTTGCTATTAAGAGGAATAATACCCAATTTCATTTGCACACAGATAATGCAGACAGAAATTGCAAAGTTGTGATTAACTCTGCTTTGGTTCGTCATTCAGGTCCTATTACAAATGTATAAGTTTAAAAAATGTTCACTTTATAATTGGATAGCATCTTTCAAGATATAAAAATTTAATTTTATTCCACTGCTGCTTTCAATATCTCAGTGGACAGAGCCTGGAGGCCACATTTCATAACACGCTTTTTCTGAGTCACAGCATCAAATATTTATGAAGTGTTTATTTAGAGCATTGACAAAATCCTGTAGATCACCCCTAAATCCCTAATGGAATTCCAACACCTTGGGAGCAGGCAATTAATCTTTGGATTTGCTGTAAGGAGACTGCAGTATTACTATATGGAATTTCAAGCTCACAACAGTTATCTTTTATAATCTGGAAATACTGAAGGTAACTGGCACATGGTTCCACCTGGTTTGCCTCTGTATAACTGTAATTTGCAAGTGTTTATCAAGCTCTTTGAGGTTGTTGGATAAGAGAGACAGCCATTACAAGCAGCCCGAGGGCAGAATAAATAAAGACATTCTATGATCACACAAACCCCAGGGCTCAGATTCCCACCTGAGAACCTGGTTACAGAGAATCCTGAATACTCTGCTCTTGCTTAGAAGCAAACAAACCCCCAGACCACCTCTACAAACTTAATTCAAGTCATGAACATAATTAGTATGTTTTCAACGCCATTGGTGTATTTAGACACCCAAGATTCTCAGATGTGGAAGGTGGTTTTCACAGATTCTCCACTGAATCAATGGAGAGGGACTCCTGTTGTGGATCTCACACTCCAGAAATTCTTTGAGAGAAGATGCCCAACTTCAGCAGCTGATGCACAGGCTGGGAAATGTTCCAGGCATAAAAACAAAGCTTAAGGGATGGAAGAATCCTCGGATTTTGCCTCTAATTAACATCTAGGTCAGGTTTGCCCAGCTCTGCAGAGAAAGAGCCCGTGAGAAATTCCCCTCCCCTGCGTCTTAGTGGACTTTGTGAAGTCTCTGGGACTTGAAGCTCCAAGAGAAAACAAACCAAACAAATTCCAGGGATAGTGTAGAGTAGGTTCAGTTTGTATAAAACCTGCAATGCAGCTCTTTGCTGCTCTTCTGCTTCTTTAAAGAGCAGTGACTTAAAGAAAGAGAGAAACTCCTACTATGGGGTAGTAAAAAAACAGTCCAAAAATGCTGCTGTTCCCTCACCACTCTGCCTTTAAAGCTGGAGAAGTGGAATTCTGTCTCCATTTGGAATTAGGGCATGCTGACAGCACCAGTCCATCTCAACCTAATTTATCCTGGCCAGCCTTGTTTATTGTGCTCAGCTGCAGTTCAGCTTCTGGAAAGTGGTCTTGGCTTTGGAAAGGAAGCTGATGGACTGCAGGGAGCCTTAACATGGCAAATGTGACAAACTCAAATCTCCAACTCACCTGAAAACAACTATTTTAATGACTAAAAGGATTCGCTACAGCTTATTTTTCCTGCTGCTCTGTACTCACTTCACAGTGCCACAAAAACAGAGCAAGGTGAAGTGATTCCATTGAAACTGTGCCCTATTGTTACATAAACACTTCCATGAAATCAGGATGAATCACTTGCAGGACACAGTGATCCAACTGTACATTATTAGTGACATTTAGTAGTAAACAACTCTGCTACTAAATCAGGCACAGAGCATGAAAAATAATTAGAGCTGGATGAAGCAGGATTCCAGAAAAGATCCTAAGTGGTAGATGGGAGCAAATTGCCACTGAGCACCCACAACCTGCAAATGAACTAACAGAAGTTTCATCCCTTCTGCTATAATGTCTTGTTATTCTATTGCTTCTCTCAGGAAAAAGAAAGCAGCATTTATTTCAGCAAAGAAAAAAGCCTCAAATTGACTGGAATTATTTCTCAACACTCAACCATTTGTATCCACACACACACACACCACTAGCACTTCTCCAAATAGCAGCACACAGAAACCTAATTAGCACCTAAATGAAACATCTGATAGTTCAGACTTGCAGTATTTCTGGGGCTCCTGTCTAAATGGGACTTATCCATAATGAGTTCTGCAGTACTCTGAGCATCATTCCAAGTGGATATGCTCCTGATGAGGAGGAAACTTTCCTCTCTGGAGTGTTCTACGAAAGGGATATAAATGCAGAGCTCATCTGTTGCTCAACCACACATCACTCTTGCCCCACACCCCCCAGGCTTTCCTGCCAAAGCAACCTTCCCTTGGGTGCTCCAGAACCACAGGCTTGGCCAAGATGGACAAGTTTTCCCTACTCTGCTCCTCCAACCATTCTGGATGCAGTTTTTCCCCTTCCAGTGCCATGGGAGCACATTCTCACCTTGGTAAATACACTTCCACTTTCTGCTTCTTTACAGAATTGGCCCATTCATTAATCAAGGAGGCTTTGACCAGTGGTTCCAGTGTGACCAGTGGAACCTCCTGCCTGGACAGGACGATCATCATACTGATCTCATCTCCCTCATAGGGGATCTCCAGAACCTGGTAGATGCCACCTGCTTCATTGGAGCCATCACTGAACTCCCCTATAACAGAAGAACAACAAAAAAGCCATTAGTAGGATTTTCTTTTGTCTTTACTGGAGATAGGGGAAAATAGAACCCTAATAGTAAGTAGTACTTACTAAACATACATAATAATAAACATAAAAATGACCCTACTTATTCTGTATAAAATTTGTGTTGGTTTCTTCCTCATAGGATTTGAGGCTTACATGTGATTTCCTGAAGAACACAAGCTCATGCAATGACACAGTTTGGACACAATTACACTTTTATGACCCAAATTCCACTGGTTAGACAGATGAGGCTAAAATTTAAGGCAGCTAAGACCTTCATGGAAATGGGCAGAGGTTTTGTATTCAGGAGAGATAATTTTTCAGTGATGAGACTCAGTGAAATGCTGCCAATGCCAGAAATCACAGAACCCCCTCGGAACTCAAGCTCAAGATAAAAATGATCATTAATTTTGCTGTTCAAGAAACCCCTATTTTACCTTTTCAAGGATATTACAACAGTTCTGAGCAAATATTACTCATTTTAATATTTAGCACAGGACAAGAAAAATATTTTTGTGATAAGCAGGACTAGCTTGAGAGTTGTAAAGAGGTTAAATACAAGGAATAAACATTCTGAAATCCACCATGTGGCACCGAACAGGTCATTAAAACTGTTACCTAGTTATCACATACACATTAGGGAAAGACACCAAAATCTGAGTCCCTTCATTGGGCAAAGAGCACATTAAAAACTCCAGGTGAAAAAAGAGACAACAATCCAAATTAACATTACTGCAACAAACCCATTAAGCCAAGACTTACTGGCTTCAAACTGCTAAAGGTCCAACTCACCGTAGTAAAACTCTCCCTGTTGGTACATCATTGGAATTTGCACTTCACTTTCATCATCTTTAGTGAAAGAAAAAGTTCTTGTATTTTCAGGTCTGAACTGTGACTTCCAGTTGCCCTTAAAGTAGATTGCATTGATGAGAGCCAAATGAGTGAGAGTACCAAAATCTCCCGAAGACACAAAATCTTTGATCATACCTAAAAAGAAACCCAACTGTCAGTCTGTGTGTCAAACTGAGCATTAAATCAAAACTTGAGACAGCTTGGAAAATGCAAGAAAATAAAAAGCTGTGCTAACATGTAATTTCCAATTCAGATGTTTCATTAAATCTCAAATTAAACTGCCAGTGTTTTGTAAACCTAAATCACAGTGTAGGTGCATAAACCCTTCCATCAAGCACAAGTTAGTCAACTGTTTCTTGATCACTACTAAATATACCCCACAAGGAAACCACGTGGAAAAGGGTCACACATGGAATGTTTACACTGGGGCTATGAAACAGTTCAGCATTTTCATCTTGAGGGCAGAACTTGTGCAAACTTTGGCTCCGATCCCAAGCAGCACTGAAATGGGTGCTCGGTTTAACGTGCACCCACTGGAACTCGCCCTGGGCCGGTTTTGAAGGAAGCATTTCATCCCAGCACTGCCCTACTGACTCCAAAGCAAGGACTGATCATCAAAACCCCACAGGAATCCACAGCATTTGCTCCACTGACATCAGCTCCTGAACAGCAAAAGGGAACAGCCACGGAGCATCTGCTCCGTTCAGCTGAGCGGGGCGGCTGCTCTGCTCCCACTCCTACATCAGCCATTCCCATCACAACACACTCTGCTACCTGCTTTAGCTCATCTTACATGGCTTGATTTCAGCAAAATCATTTCCAGTTTGGTAAATTTGGTGCACTGACCAGCTCTGCCTGCTGCTCTTGAAGAATGACAGCTTTCCTTGCTCACTTCTATTTTTAACTGATATTGCAATGCAAGGTGTTAAATAAACACATTTCTTGGTCTGGTTATTACTCCTTAATCCATGGTTTAAAAAACAAATTAATTCTGCTTTCTGGAGCACATGATCCTGACTAACTGGTGTGAAATTTGTGTATCCCAGGACAGGATTTCTTCCAGGTTGCTGTTTGTGCTCCATTTTATCCAGAAGGATAAAGGAATAAGATGTGACTGATACTGCCACACTCACTAGGAGACGGAAAAAAGAAAAAGGAAACATTAAGAAGGAAGACACTTCCAGGTTTCTGTTTCTATTTGGGAAGTCATACTGCCTTATGTTTTTTCAGCCACATCTCGTTAACACACTAATGAAATGTGAGGCATTTTTCTGCCCAGAGAAACCTTTGACAGTTCTGGTTTCTGCTCTGAGCCTCCCATCCTGCTGGAACTGGAAACCTGCCTGTCCTGAACCCCTTTCCTAAGGAGAACATGAGCTTCCTCCTCTGTCAGAGCTGGAGGCAGGAGGGAATGAGATGGAGTGGCCAGAGAGCAGCTGAGGGACTGTTACATCCCAGCCTGATGCCAAGAGCCCCCCAGCCTTCGTCAGCCCTGTTTTTCCTTTTCCCTCAGACAGACCCCACGTTTCCCTGAAAACACTTGGCAATCTGCTGCATCACTGACATCCATCTCTACCTGGAGACTGAGATAAAGGGCAGAGTTTGTTATGGACACAACAGCTGCCACGTTCCCCTGGAAAAACACCCCATCACTGTCAAACTGGAATAAAAGCATTACATGAGGAGTTTTCCTGCTTTGGAGCCACTTCCATAAAGCATTATGGATTCTTAAATGCTCAGACCATGTGGTGATGTGGTGAATTCCTCATGGGGATCCTGATCCCTTCAAATTTCCAATGGTACAACTGGGTTAGAGTCAGACCTGATGAATTCTTTGTAAAATATCAACCTTCAGAGTGGGCCAGATGAACCAGAAGGAGATGATGCTTTGATCCTTACAATGGGAGAAGCAACTGCACTCCCTAACCTGGAGACTCTGCAGGTATCCAGGGAATGTCTCCTCTTTGGGATCTGCCAAGCCAAGCCAGCACTGCATCAAGCAGCTCTCAGTGTGCTTATTTACAGCAGTAATTTTGGGCTTAATCCTCTGCTGCAAATTTGTGTTGTGAAACTGTTGACAGTCTTCCTAAAATCAACTACTCTCTAAACACACTATCAATCCCTCCCACTGCAAAAAATTTCATTACAGAGCCTGATTTTGTGCTTCAAAATTACCTTTTTATTCCCCAACAGTCTATTTCTCTCAGTACTATTTCTCAGTACCTTGTCACCGTGAGTTTCTCAGAGTAGTGATACTACACACATCCAAAGCACAGACCAATAATTCCTCTGTAGACAAATTTTCTGCCATTGGCCATAACACTTGTCTTTTTTTATATAATTTAATACCAAAATCAGTAATAAAATACTATTAAAATGTCTACTGTTAAAACACTCTCATTCAATAAATGTTAAAGGTACTTTAAGATGGTAAGACCAGAGGGAAAAAAAAAATTCAAATAGATGCTACATGATCAACAGTGACTAATATTACTTGTGACAGATCATTCCCACACAGGAAAAAAATAGAAATACTAGAATTGTTTTTGTGGGAGGAGAAACTTTAGACTCAAACAGAAGAGATAAAAGCCAAGGCAACAATTCAACAGCACTGCAGAAGTCTGGAAACAGAAACACTTCCCGCAGGAAGAGTCCAAAAGAATCCTGTGGACTTACTGTTTGTGTGATTCTCCACCCACTTGTTGATTTGGGCAGCAACTGCTGCACTTTGGCTGAAATCCACATTCTCCACTTCAGCTTTAAAGTATTTCTTGACCAACTGCAGGAATTTGTCACTGACATGGAACCCATTCTGCACATACAGGGAGTTGGCGATATCCAGCACGTAATGACTTTCTTCAGTAGTTGCCATGTCAGAAAGGTCCTTCAGGAAGGTAAATTCTTCACCTGAGGGAAGAAAAACAGCTTCAGTGGTTCAGAAAAAAAAGTTAATCTGCGTTTTTTTCTGCTGAAAATTCACTAAGACAAAAAAAAAAAAAAAGTCTTCTTTTTTTAAATAAACTTGTTTCTAAACCTACACACAAACACTTTCAGATCTGAAGGAATATTTTACAAGAATATATTATTTGGAGCTTATTTTTTCTACTAGTTCTAATTAGTATAATTAATGAGACATTTGAATCCCATCAGAGACAAAGGTATCAATGGAAATCCTTTCAGCATCAAAGGAGCAATTAAAGAAATGATTACTGGTCACATTTGTATGTCTTGCCACCACAAATCCTTACCAGAACTTTTGTTCCATCCTAAAAGCCAGTTGTTTAAGGAGAAATGGATTTCAAATTTTGAAACTAAGGACTTCCCACAGAGTTCTCAATGCAAAAAGCAGGTCTAGAATTTCCCAGGATCTTGTGTGGGGCAGGACAGAATCATTTACTTGGGTAATGAGGAATCCTGAGGAGGACTACAGCAGTCTAGGAAGCTTGTACTGCTCCATCATATACCTGAAGCTGAAATTTCCAATTTAAAAAAAAACAACAAAACAAACCTTAAAATCTGACTGCAATGATATATTCCAAGCAGAAATTATGGAGATGCTCTCACTGAATACCACTCAGTGAGAAGAGTGAATGGCCCAGCTCAAATCAACTGTATAACTCCTTCAATTAGAGCTGAGGGATAATTGATTAATGTTCTAGAGACAAACTGCAGAATTAAATTTGTGCCTCCACAGAGAGGCAACATCCCTGTAGTGGTTTTGTTAAACACAGCTTGGTCACCGTGTTCAGAAATTCCTCCCCAAGATCCTTTCACTGAAGACTTGAAAGTCCAGCACTTTGTATGAATAAGAAATTTCAGTCAGGTTTCAAACCAGTTCCTTTGATATCAATATAAGCAATTTTGCTGAAACTACTGCTTTCCTTTCAGGTTTCACTATTAATCCCTAAAAAGGATGTTCCTAAAAATCTTCTTATATCCCTGGAGGCAAAGGTAAGCTTATTCTGCAGCAAGCAAAATGAACAGCTGGCTGCAGTAGGTGAAGATTCAGGTGCCCCAGCCAGGGTTGTGTGTCAGCTGCTCTCAGCTCATGCAGAACCCACTCAGACATGTCCCAGCACGTCCAGACCATCAACAGGACACCAAGAAACCCCAGTGATTAATAACCCAAGGACATGACCAGGCCATCTGCAGCCTTGTTCAGGCATTGCCACCATTTATTTAAAAACGTAACACATGATTAAGAGGCCTCACCATTTTTCAAGCTGTCAAACCCCAAGGAATGTCGAATCTCTTTCAAAGTGGTTCCATGGGCTCCCAGCTCCACCATTCCCATGGCCAGTGCAATGCTCAGAGGAGAGAAAAGGATGTTCTCATCTTCTCTGGTGGCTCTCAGCTGGTTGTAAATGTTCACGGAGAGCTCAGCAATGGTTTCATCAGGAAAATTGGTCTTGAAAGCCTCACTTTGCAAAACAAGCAAAGACAACAGTCCAAGGAAATACATGACTTGAGATTTTAAGATCTGCAAGATAAATTTTAGAGAAAAGAAGTTAACTTTGTTAAAGTAGAATAAGATTCAACTTTAGTCTCAAATCTGGGGGGAAAAAAACCCCCAGGTCAGAGCTCAATGCACAATGCAGTTATTTGGAGGAGAATGTTCAAACTGAGGTAAGGATCTATTTTCAAACAAAAAAACAATCTGCTTCAGTAGGTAAATGTATGTTTTTGAACTCTTCCAGCCCCAGATTAACAAAACACTCGTGGCTACTACAGAAAAAGACCCCAAAGACAGCAACACCTTTCCTACTTCATGTTTGAATTCTGCTCTTGTTCAGCAAGGCTGACCTGGAATCCGTTTGTGCTTCTGTATTCTTTCACCAAGGAGACCCAAAAATCCACTATTTCTTTCATTTGACCTTCCAGTAGGATACAACTTATTCATCTAAGTCAATCTAAGCCCCCAAAAGGGAAAAATATTTCCAGCAGTGTAGGACAGCTCGCTGACACAGTGACAAAGTTACAGTACCGTGAGGCTGCTCCCTTGCAAAACACCTGGTAAGCAGCCAAAACTTCTTTGAAAGAAAAATCAATCATTCCTTGGTAACCAAATGAAACTCCTTTTGTTAGTAAATAATGTGAAAAGTTGGGTAGCTATGCTGGCCAGGAGTCAACACCCCCTCAGAGTGGGTTACTGTACATTCCAGGCAGGAAGATTCTTGTGGAAACAAGAAAGTAAATTAAATAAAAAAAGGGTGAGCGCTGATGCTTTTGACTAATCCATCCTTCAAGCTTTGCAAAATGCTTCAGTAAGCAACAGTCCTCACTCTGAATAACCCCAGTTCAGCTCATCACACTGCCAACAGTAGAATTCCAGCTCCTGGAGCAGTGTGTGTGTATCTCCATCCTTCCATTTTTCCCTTTACACTCTGTGCTCCCTCAGCATCTGACCCACTAATGCTCCGTGTCTCGGGTCAGAAACACAACCCACAGAGCTCAGTTCCTTCCCTCTGCCACTCCTGGTGCCTCTAACATACAACAGAGCCAGTCCTCCCGAGGCAGGAGGTTGGACAGGAAGGGACTAAAAGCTTTATTCCAGCAGTGTTTCCATGTTGTTGTGTCAGTGTGAAGGGCTCCTCAGCCCAGCACAAATCGTGGGAATGCTGCTGCTCCACTGAACCCATCTGCATGCAGCCAGCCCAAGTGCCTCTCCTTATGCTTCCCAGCAATCCTGGGCTCCCATTTCCATGGGGTTCTATATCCATGGCACAAAGCAAGCTTTACACAACATTTATATTCTGCATTTCATCTTCAAAGGCCTGTGTAGCAGCATCTAATTCACTCACACAACACAATGATCCATAATTTAAGTGTTATTACTCACATTTTATAGCTGAGAAAATACAGAGGACAACTGGGTACACACACGTGCCTTGGCAGCCACTGGGGCTGGCACTGGTTAAGATTCCTCCTGTCCCCCAGCCTTGGATTTGTTTAGTCCTGAACTGAGAAAATTAAACAGATGAACCAGTGCAGGGATCACACAGAGTTCAGGGAAAAGGAGAGCCTTGACTCTCCCCTGCCCCTCCTCTCATTTCTCATGATTGTTTCCATATATGTGAGAATATCCCCCTTTTCTCCATTTCCAGTAAACTCTCCTCTGTGCTGGCATCACTTCATCTCTCTGGGCTCCCTGATCGATCTTCCTCTGATCCTTAGCAAGGTATCAAAAGTCTCCACTGAAGGCTCTTACTCTGTTTAAGAACAGCCCAGACAAGCCATACAAGCCTGAAGCATCAGGTTTAACAGTTGCTGCTGACATGTTTCACTCCCAAAAGTCCCCAGCACTTCGCTGCTGCCCAGTGGCAAACATTGCACTCTGACCACCACTAGTTATTTCACAAAGACTCAGTTTTTTATAACCAAAACCATCATCCACACACCACAAACTTCCCCAATAACTGCTTTTCTTCATAGCAGTTCACTTTTTTTTTTAAACCTGTCCATTTAGAAAGTATTGACTTAAGGATATTAAGGTTTCTGTTATAGAAAATAACTGGATTTCTCTGTGATCAAGGGTATTCTAGATTTCTTTATTTTAGAAAAACCCAGCTCTCACAATGTTACATAAGACTTCAGTCAGCACATCCCTGGGATAGACTGAGCCCAGGTATTATTCTCTTATCCTAAAAGCTGCACAAGGCAAGAAAGGCTTAATGAACCCACGTCACACAGGTCTAGAGCAGCATCAAAAACGGGGCTCAAAAAATAGATAAGCAGAAGCTCATCTTTCTTTGGTTGAGGATGAACCCAAATGTGGGGACTCTCCCATCCTAATCCATACAAACCAGTTGTGCAGCTCAATGTGGATGCAATTATACAGGGAGCTCAGCTTTCCCCTCCCGGATCAAGAATTGTTTGAGCTCACTTTGAGACCTGACATGGTTAAAACAGATATAAAATAACCTTCAATTCTGAAAAAGTCCAATTCCCCAGCCTTTCAGTTGCAGAGGCAGCTGTTCAGCCCTCCATCATTGATCCTGGTCCTGTGTGCTATTGCCAGACAGGCTTAAATAATTGCAGGGGGGAAGTTTATACATCTTAATTAAGTGTTTAATGTGCAGGTCAGACTGTCTGAATGCTAATAAAATATTTGGTATTAGACAATGCTAAAAACCCCCAAATTATTTACAAATCAAAGGCATGTTTCTTTGTGACCACTCTGGAAAAGCTCCTTATGTGAAATAATTAAGTTACAATACTTTTCATTATTTAGTTGGACAAAAAATGGGGTAAGTACATAGATGGAGACAAATACAATTTATACTGAAATGCACTTAACAAGACAAAGTACCAAATGTCTGTTTTTGAATACATGCCAAATCCCACTGATGGCAAAACAAGAGGTTGAGTGGTGCAGAATTAAAGCTCCCAGTAAAATGAAATAAAGTCTAAAAATCTCTATTCCCCCCCTGCCCCTTCCACATCACTTCAGTCTAGAGAGGTTTTCCAATAGAATTCACAGGGAAGTTCCCCACCCACATGTCCAGGGAAAAGGAGGACAGCAGGGATGCAGGGATGAGCACCTGGGTGTAGGCAGAGGATGTGACCAGCTCTTTGGCTGGCACTGCTCTCTAAAGATATTTGTGAAAACATAAAAACATATAATGAGCACAATGCAAGGGAAGGTGATTTAAAGCAAACTGAAGATGGTCAGCAGGGAAGATGCTGTAAAACACCACAGACATCTGATCCATCCCTGCCAGCCAGGGTGAAAATGGTCTTATCTTATCCATCTAATCAAAGACTTCTGTGGTAAATTCCTCAGTTCAATTCTTCTCTCACTTCGAGTACATGAGTTCACTGTTCTGACAACGGGGAATCCAGCTCTTAATTGGCATTCCAGTCAGAGCAGTTCCTGCTTCCCTGATCCTGCCTCACTTCAGGCTCTATTACTTTTGGTTTTATGCCTCCTCATGCAGGAGAGCTGGATCCAACCAACAGCTGAGCACTAATTACGTGCAGCAAGTTCTCAGCATCCCTGTCCTGTTAGAGGCAGGGGCACTCTGGTTTGTCACTGCAGCAGCCCTGAGAGCAGCTGTGAATTCACTGTGCCCTCCTCACAAACATGCCTTAAGTGAAGACAGTGAAGCTGAACATTATGTAATGCACATGCAGAAAGTTAAAGAGTTCCTATGAGTATCATCAAACTTTTTACTCAGTCTTTTGTCTCCTCCTCAGACATCCCCAGCACAGCCTGTCAGTGCTGATCTGCATCAGTGCAATCCACTTAAATAACACTGCAGCAGTGGGAAGGGAGTCAAAGTCCCCACTGAGCAATGTCTAAAAATCAAGAGCCATCAGTTTCAAATGTTACTCTGTGCACTTTCCATTTCTTGGCTACATGTGGGAATGAAAAAAAGCTGGTAAAAATACCTTCACTCCTCAATCACATAGATGTTAAGACCAACAATGTGAACTTCTCATTTGAGGACCAGTCTCAGACAGAGAGTTTTGTTTTATTTTATCTTGATGCACGAATATTTTTCCTGCCAGGCAATCAACAAATCAGCACAAATATACAAACACTCTCCTTGCAAAACAGTTGTGTATCACAATTGCTACAGAGCTTTGTCAGAGTATTAGTTTTGCTCTTGCTTGCAACTGTTCTCAGGGTAAAAAGGCAGCGACAGAACAGCAAACCACAAGATTCCAGATGTCCTTCAGCAGGTACTGGCATTGAGGTCACAACCAGTTCAATTCCCAGGGAACCTCTTCATCCAGAATTTCAGAAAACTGCTGCAAAGTCGTCATCATTCCTGAAAGTCAGCCCAGCACACTTCCACAAGTGGTCACAACCGGCTCAGTGTGAGGGCAGCATTCCCGTTCTCCTGCCCTTGGCCAGCCCAGATGTGCTCCTGGGCACAGGGAACACCCGTTTTTGTAATGTTTGGAGAAAAACACTCATCTGATAAACACAGAACTGCTGCTTCTCTCCAGCTCCTGCCTCTCCCGAGCATAAGGCTGGGATGACTAAGAGGAAGCAGAACAACATCGCCCCCTCACTCCCACAAACCCTGAACTATTCGGTTCATCACATGTGCTCTCAGCGAGACGCAGAAGGGGCCGGTGTTCTCTGTAAGACAAGATATTTTGGGAGGTATCATATCAACAAACTCCAACTGAGTTCACAGACACAAAGTACTGTGAAATTTGAAACAGCCAGAACTGGACTCAGCGTAGGAAGGTGCCAAAAATTCAATTAAGGGTTGCATTCTAGTACCTTGTACTTGTCAGACAGGTTGAAAAAATGGGTTATAATTTCCTTGTCTTTAACACCTCTACAGACAGAGGGTTTTATAAAGAAACTCATTTATGGCTTTAAAAGCTTACAAAATAAAGCTGGTATATATATTGCCTTAGTCCCTCAGTACACAGAGACTAAACTAAGATTAGTTGCCTTAAAGATCACTCCTGGCTACCTGCAAACTCAACACCAATGGTGTGGGAAGCACAAATGAGAAA